ACATACTTGAGCATAGCCAATTTAAATTAACCTTAGCGATGCATAAAGTTCCTACCTACATAATAAAATATATCTCTAAGTTACAAGGATGACCTTATTTTATTAACCTCAAACAGAAGCCGTTTGTTCTACAGTATTATCCCACTTAACGCTTAACACTTGTCTATTTCGTTTTAACCTTTATATATACGGTCTATGGTTTTAACTTGGAGACTACGATTAGCATCGTTAGCACCGATGTAGCTACCACTCGCTTACACGCTAACACATTCATTACGTAGCTGATTAAAATCATAAACACAGAAATAAAGTACTTGAATTTCACTTACCGCAAAACCGCATTCATGCACCGTCTGTTTTAACCGCAGAGCGTGTCACAATAGTCCGATATATAAGCATGAAGAACAAACAAACACGGCCGGGGTCAAGTTGTGTTCCCTGGATGAACTGAGCAGGCAGAGTCCCTGTAGCTTCACGGAGCAGGCAGCTAGCAGAGAGACAAGAAGCTAACAGCAGCAGTCACTTGACAGAGCTGTCACTCAATGTGACCACGCCCTAATTTATGCAAACACTTTAAGACCTAATATAGATAAAAGGGTCGCGTTAGAAAACAATTCGCTCACAGATTCATAATCATGAAGGTGGAATCTAACTATATCTATAATAATATTTATTGGATCCATGGGTAGAAACATGTTTTTTTAGGCTGTAAAATTGGACATTTTAACATGGGGGTCTATGGAAATTGCTCCTTTCTGCAGTCAGCGCCTATCGGCCGTATTGGCGTCCCGGCTCTTCCCCAGAGTTTGCCGCTTGGGTTCATGACATCCTATTTAAATCACGGAAGTGATGCGCCTCCGTCTTTTCCACATTCCCTTTGCTGGGGAGACGGCGGCGAAACTCCGCCCGCCGCTCCCCACGTAAGTATCGTGTAATATAGTTAAATGTATGTTTAAATAATTGTAGACTCACAAGCGTGCACTCATGGTCGCGCTACAGAAGAGTAGTATGAAGCTGCAGCGTCGGAGGCTGCAGTCTCAGGACCGCACTCCTGGGACCGCACTCCCAGGACCCTAGTTGTTTTGCAACATCGCCACCTAGTGAGCAGGAGACATGAATATGAACGACAACGCAGAGAGTGTGAGTAGTGTGAAGTGCTTTTAAAGTTTTATTTGTTTAACATTAATAACAATTCCGGTGTCTTGAAATGAAGTGTGATTGGCTAACATTAACTATGATAGTCTTAAGGCAATACAAACAAACATCTGTTCACTTATGATAGCTTCTAACAGTATTAAAGGCACTAAAAACAATTATTCGTGAGCTATAGCTTTCGGCAAAAGCATTATTAGCAAAAGCATTAGCTTCGTTAGCATATTTGATTATTTGTTTAATGAAACTGTAGCGTGATTTTGGCAAGCCCAACTAGGTGTCCTACATTAATTGTTGATTTAATCACTAATTACAGTAAGAGTGTGAGTAATGTGAATCATGTTGTTTGTTTAAAGTTAACAACTATTCTGGTGTATTCAATTGGACAGCAATACAAGCAACACGTGCTAAATGTCATCTGTTAGCCTATGATGACTCACTGCAAAACCAACTGATAGCCTTTTTGTTTATTTGTTTAATGAAACCGTATGTTATGGTTATGTTATTTAGCAGAGGCTTTTATCCAAAGTGACTCACAAAAAACATAAAATAACCATAATTAACATTAGAATATCAATACAAATAGTTACAATGAAAATGAAAATTGTAAATAAGCCATCTGTATGTAAAAAACCACCTGTATGTAAATTGTAAATAAGCCATCTGTATGTCAAATATGTCTTATATGTCTTAAATGATATGATGAATTGGAAATGGGGGACCCTGATGTAAACAAGACGAAAGTCTTTCTCTGGTCTGCATCCCCTTAACAATTGTATGTTTTGAGCTGTACTTTACTGTACCCAATATACAAGCTGTTAATACACTTTTCAATCAATCAATCAATACATAGTCAGTTACATTACTTATTATATTTTTAACAGGGTAATTAGTCATCTGTAACCTACTACATTTAAAAAAAGTAAACTTCCCAACCCTGATCATTAATTATAGTCAGCTAATTAATTAAACTTCAGAGGATGACAAAAGCATGTCAATATGATCTGTCTGTCCGCTACATTAAATCAGCAGTAGCCTAAGTTCTGTCTTCAGTGTAAATGCTTCTTTAATAGTCATTGTATTACTATTTGAATTCATTGTAAATCATCTTAACTGTGCTGACTGCCTGTTTACTGTTTATCAGACAGTCTCATCATTTTGACATGTTTTGTAATATTGCATGAGGTGTTTTAGTCAGTTATTATGTCGGCCTATTCTGTAGGTTAGAATATTATGAAGTTGATTGACTAAGAGTAAGGTCAGCTAAATTAAGGAAGGTTTTGTTATTTTTCTGTCTGAATTGTAATTTTCTTATGACATTCTACTTCAGGTGTCGTCAACTGGAATATCTTCACAGAGGGACACAAACAGGAATTTAAGAAGGCCTACCAAATGTCCAGGTGCTTTCAGTGTGACAACCTGTATAAGGACGTTGGCACAGGCTACCGGGGAAGTGGACGGCGAGGAATATTACAGGGTTTTTACTCAGAAGAGGGCTTCCCGGGGTACTGCAGCTGGAGCTGTTTTCTGGTGGTTGAGGGAACAGCAGACCCCGCCTCACCCCAGTGAACAATCCACAGTGTGGAAATTGTGCCCAATAAATACAAATGTATTCTGCACTGAAATGCCTCTCGTCAAATTGCATGTTTATCTTTTGCAGCCTGGTGCATAAACACACTAACAGTTGTTTTTGAGTAATCTAGCACCTCTTCAAAGACACATTTGATTTGATTTATTTCGAACGTGTAATACAATAAAAAAATATATATATAATAATAATGAAATGAAACAAGAGAATTATGATACTGTAGAAACATAAGCAGTATCAAATTGATTCAAAGGAGTTTACACTTATTTAACCCCACCCCTTCTCCCAAAAACTAAATTAACAGTTTTGTTTTCTTTTAACAAAATATACATCTAAATGTATGTCTACATACAATATACATTTACAATTATAAATAGATTATATCATTATTACTACAACATATATATATATATTTATGTTGTATGTCAAATTTGATAAGACAAATATAAAAGACTATCTTTTTACATCTGACATACAAAATACATTTGTTATTAAAAAACAAAAACATATTAACAACAACTTGTTGTTAATAATAATTTAATTTCAGTAAGAAAAACATATTTTCATGCATTTTTAGATGGTTAATAACAAGCATTACAATGTCTAAAGAGACTCGCTGTGTATGAGACTCAATACTCGCTGGTTGTACTTTTGCGGTCATCCAATCCGCTAGGTGGCGATGTTGCAAAACAACTAGGGTCCTGAGAGTGCGGTCCTGATAGTGCAGCCTCCGACGCTGCAGCTTCATACAGAAAGGGAGGGGAAAAAGGGACGTTTTAGTGATGATTTAACCTTATTTATTGACGAACGGAAGAGAGCAGGAAATGTTTGGTGTGTGTGATGTGTGTGTGCGGTGTGTGTGAGTCGCCGCTGCGGCTGTCAGTGGCGGAGTCAGTCACTCTGTGATAGAGATGGCAAATCCGGATCATTTTACGGACTCAGGGTCTTCTGAGTCAGTCATTGAAGAGATCCGGATCATACGAGTCATTTGAGTCATATGAGTCAGCATGACCAAGACCGTAGAAATCCTATTGGTGAAACCGAAAAGTTGTTGCATTTCACGAGCATATTATTATTCCATATATTTTGAATATATATATATATTTGTATATATATATATATATATATATATATATATAATATCTGCATGTATATTTTCTATTTCGACATGTATATTTTATATTTTATTTTTATTTCTATTCTTGTATATTTTGTAGTTTTGTTTTATTGTAAAATGCCTTTTATGCTGCTGTAACAACAACAATTTCCCAATTTGGGATCAATAAAGTACTATCTATCTATCTATTAAACTGACGTTATATTAACCTCCGCTACACAGTGTATTTTGCTTTAATAAAAAATGTTGATCACAAAAAAAAGGGTTATTTTGCGATTTGGCAAATCTGAGTCTGCTGTTGACTCGTGCATGAGGACGAGTCTGCTGGATCTCTGGATCTGCTGCTATATACGGCTCCGAGTCCGCACGAGTCTGCTCTGCTGTGTGTTGCACACACAGTGAGTCAGGATTTGCGAATCCGAGTCTGCTGTGGACTCGTGCATGACGACGAGTCTGCTGGATCTCTGGATCTGCTGCTATATGGTTACGGCTCCGAGTCCGCACGAGTCTGATCCGCTGTGTGTTGCAGCGAGTCAGGATTTGCGAATCTGCGAATCTGCGAGTCTGCTGTTGGAGCCGTCGGCTCCTCTGAGTCCCCACGAGTCTGCAGGAAGTTTCACTGATCCGCGTCCCCTCCCCTGAGCCAAACGATCACTTCTGGCAGCTATCCTGTATACTTGCTAAAGGGTAGGTAGATGGACTGGGGTACGTTGTAATGTGATTTTACATGTTATAAAGAGAGTAGCGAGTGACGCAATTTATAGTTTTAATTTGTACGTCACACCAAGTGTGGGACTCAAGGACTCGGGTTAATGGAGAGGGGAGACTCGTCATGACCAGCTCATTTCTAGGATCCGGGTTAATGATCCGGATGAATCAAGACTCGCCCATCTCTACTCTCCTCTCCGTCACATTGTGGTTATTACAAGAAATCCAATAATATCCAGAAATTCATTATTTTCACATTTTATCACATTCCCATGTTACCGCACGGGCCCAGATGTACACCCCGCTAATTGCACAATTATTATTATTATGAATTTAGTCATATTAGATGATTTCTGTTTTAATTTGTGTAATATTGGATGTCCAGTTGCTCACCGGGGAAACACCATGGGAAATGCCATGGGAAAGACGAGGCGCTCTACCCGGCGGCCACTGCGCGCTTCCGTATCACTTCCTTGTTCTTCTGTGGAGGGAGAAAAGTTTTCACGGAAGGGACTTGACGGACTTTTTGTGACTTTGTTCGGCCAAGCTTAGCGTTACATGTTGGAACCAAACACCTAACTGCTCATTCATCGCTCCCAGCTCCTTTCGGGCTGATAAAAAGTGAAAGAAGTAATGGCTGACAGCCGGGAAGAGGGGAAAGAAGACCAGGAGCCTCAGGGCGCCGTGGGTGGGGAAGGTATGTGAAGCCATGGCAGGTGGACACAAGCTAACGAAATGTTGTATTAAACTGACAACTCTTGGCAATATACCATTATGACATTTGCTTTTTATTAAATTGAGAGACCGGTTTTAACACAATTGGGTCGATAAAGGTGTCCCCGTCCTCCTAGCGTTAGCCTACCTTATCCGAACCAGCCTCCAACCTGTCGTCTGTTGCGGCGCTCAATGCGACCTCACCTCACTGGTGACCGGCACCAGGCACCAGGGCCTCCACTAACCCCAACCAAGGGGAGACACCACGGGAGGAAACCCCTCTCTGAAGCGGGGACACAATTTGACACTTCCGTTGCTCAGGAAGTTTTCCAGACATTCATTTTAAGCTAGCAATCTCGTGTAAGAATACCATAGGTTCACAGAGGTGGAAGAAGTACTCAGATCTTGTATTAAAGTAACTACCAGAGTGTAGGAATACTCTGTTACAAGTAAAAGTCCTGCATTCAAAATGTTCCTTAAGTAAAAATACTAAAGTATTATCATCAAAATATAGTTAAAGTACCAAAAGTAAAGGTAGTCATTGTGCAGATTGGTCCATTTCAGAAATATATGATATGATTTATAATTATTGATCATTAAAGTGTTATCAAAGCTGGTAAAGGTGCAGCTAGTTTGAATGACTTTGTATACTGCAGGGTAGCTTGTGAATTTACTCCAGGTGTACTACAGTCTGATTTAAGAGTTCATTATATTTAACATCATTAATCCATATTTGTAAAGTAACTAAAGGTATTAAATACATGTAGTGGTGTAAAAGTACACCATGTACCTCTGAACTGTAGTGGAGTAGAAGTACAAAGTAGCAACAATTGGAAATACTCAAGTAAAGAACAACCACCTCAAAATTGTACTGTTAATAACATTTTGATTGCAGGACTTTTATTTCTATCAGAGTATTCATAGACTGTGGTATTTCTACTTTTACTAAAGTACAAGATCGGAGTACTTCTCCGATTCTGATCAGAGCTTATTAAATACTGCTAGTTTATGTATTTATTATGCTGATATTAAATATAGCTGGGGCCAGTCTTTCCATGGGAGTTTGTGAAATATGCCGAGTCATTGTATGCATCATAAAGTACCATAAAGTCAATATGTCTGCTTAACCCGGTCATTACAGTGCAGCTGGTGACAAACAAGGTAATAAAACAGGAGGATTGTGGCCTGAGTCAGGACGCTGTGAGTCAGGGTGAAGGTCTGCTGGGGCTGTGAGCTCCCCCCAAGTGTAGTTTTAGAGTTCATTACATGTACAATTTAAACATATTATCTTACACGAAAAAATTAGAGCAAACACATGAAGGCGCAACGTAAATATTGAAAACTTAAATATGGGGTAGACGGGACTGTGACATGCCTCAAAGTTCAACTTAACAACAATTGATTGTTCTGTAATTTAATTTCCATACTTTTGTAAAAAGATGTACATGTTAATATAGGTGTATAAGTATGAAATAAACTGCATTACAGTAGAATGCCTCTTCCTAATGCTCTTAAATTGTCTATATTCTGCTCTTAAATTGTTTTAAATGTTCTTTGATAACTTAATATTTAGGCATGACTTATACATAATGAAACTGAAACGGATTTTAAATGTGGTCAAACTATAGAAGTCTAAACTATTTAAGTGGTGGTACAAAGTAAGACTCCAAATTTACATAAATCAACATATTTGATCAAAACAAGACACATTTCAACATAAATAGTTAACAAGCTGTTATGGCAAGAACTTCTTTTTTTTGGATTATGAAAAGGAAACGCCTCAAATGTTCTATAAATAAAAATGCTGCAGTATGAATGCTTTATATAATGATCTTCTCCTTTGTACAGATGTCATTGATGATCCCATCCTGGAGCAAGGCGCAGTGGTACTCAGAGCGTAAGTCTCAATCTGAATAATAATAATACACAAACTGAATTTATACAGCACTTTTCAAAAGATACAAAGTGTTTTACATGGTTAATGGAAGAATAAACATTGAATACAATACTATCATCTCAGTTGAACTATTGTAATACTATTAAACTGAGATGATATGAGAGCATGTGTGATCTTCTCATGATAAGGTGAAAAAAGAAAAAAGATTTTTGATATGTTGGTCAGTTGAAAAAAACCAAGAGACAAGTGAATAACCTCTGTTGAGCAGAGCAGTTAAAAATACAACCTGGTTTGAAAATACAGAAATCATCACGTAAGCAAGAACAGATGCACACAATGTTTTTTTTTCTTACTGAGTAAAGGCTAAAGTTTTCCGATTGAAGAAGTAACAACTTAAGATGCTACTGATTATTGCCTTTCAACTTATTCTGATAAGCGATGCTCCCATCAGGTTTTTCAGGATAAACGGATCCCCAGTGTATTGTCATGGGGACCGGCTGATCTGCTGCTCATTACCAGTTCTTGCATTTTTTTGTAAAAAACACAATAAGAGGCTGACCCTACAGAAATCACCTCTGTTCTAGTGATGGGAATTCCGGCTCTTTTCAGTGAGCCGGATCATTTGGCTCGGCTCACCAAGAAGAGCCGGCTCTTTCTGCTCTCAAACAGCTCTTCAGTTTACCACATATACCTTTTATAATTCAATCAAATTTAGCCCTGTTTTGACTAATGATTTATATGTGTACACGTATATCACTTCAATTATTCAATACATCTTTTTAGTATTCAAAAGTAAAAATGACATGTTTAATATCAATTATTTGCTGTGGCCAATTGTTTTCATTGCATTGACAGACCCTTGTAACTCTCTGATACCACCCAATGAATGCACTGACTTGCTTGTAGAACCACGCTACACAAAGCAGATAGCAACACCTATAAAAACTTTAGCATAGACATTTTTAAAAAGGACAGCTACTGTATCGACATTTTAAAATTATATTTAAAGAAAAATCCCTAACAAAACAGCAGGGCTCTATTTCAGTATTAAATAAAGAAAAAAAGACAGCAACAGCTGACATCAAATCTTTGCTGAGCCTAAAGATAATCATAAATAAATAACATAGTGAAAATAAATGTATTGCAATGCTCAAAACAGCAGCATCCAACCGTCTCTAATACTTGGATATTACATGTCACTGCATGCATGCACGGAGCACCCCAAAAAAACGGCTCGTTCGCGGGCGCGAGCAGGCTCCCTTCATTCACTTAAAACAGCCGGCTCTTTGAACCTTTACTTACTCAAATCATTAAAAACCTTTACTTACTCAAATCATTAAAAACACACCTGTTCACCCCGGCTTCCTTTATCTTTTGTTTGCCCTTTGATTGTTTGTTTGTTTTGTTTGTCCACCATGTACAGCGACCTTGGGTCCCTTGAAAGGCGCTATATAAATATAATTTGTTATTATTATTATTATTACTTAGATGTCCTCTAAGCCTCCAGTCTCTCACACTATGCTAGTGTTTTTTAGGATAGGTTCACATTTTCACACAAATGCGTTTCTTGTCGATGTATATCGAAAGAGTTATTGGTGTTTGTAGTCATTCTCCTCGTTTCTAAAGCAAGCTCACAAAGTCCAAGCATGCGTCTTGTGTGGTGTTTCCTTGGTAAAGCCGTTTTCTCTGTCCTAGGTATGTGATTGAACGTATAAATGCGGAGGAGCCAAGTCGCCACGTCTCCTCGGAGCATCTCGGAGGAAGACCCAACGAACAACAGGACCCTCATGTCAAAGAGGTGGTGCAGCAGCTGCTGAAGATCGCAGACGAGATGAACAGGAACGCTGAGCTCCAACGGTAAGCTGTGCAGCAGGAACACACCACTGGAGGAGCACATCACTCCCCAGAGCCCTGGTGCCGGGTGGTCTCAGTGGTTCAATGTAGGGAGGACTGACTCTAAAGAGTATCGACAGTGCTGATACCAAGTCCTGATCACATACCTGTGTTTTACTAGATAATACAGCAGCACAATGCACATTATATAATATCATATCAAATCCATCCATTGTATATGCTTGACAATTAAATAGTTTTAAAATGATATGAGGAAAAAATGACTGCATCGAAGCTGTCCCGAAATAATGTTTTTTTTTTTTACTAAATTAAGATTAAAAAAATGTAATATATATTTTATTGATTAAGATTTTACTTAATAATCACCTATCATGCTATTTTTAGGCAATAGCATAGGTCTCAGATATATACAAAGATATAAAAAACATGTCTATGAAATGTTTTTGCTCAAAATACCAAACAGATCACCCATTCTAGCCATGCCTCATATCCCTCTGTTTCACTTCCTGTTTCAAAAGTGCTGATTTTGGGTATAAAGCTTTAAAAAAAAGAAAGAATTGATTGAGGAGGGGGCTGAGCTCATGCGGGACCCAGCAGCTACTGTCCAAACTAAATACTGCCGTGATGAAACGCCATATCAGGATTATCAAGGATTATTTCTGAAACAGTATGGAGCTCAAAGGCTTTCTCTCTTGCCGGTTATACCACAAGGTGAGTTCCTTTTTATTTCCTGCTTCTTCACACACATGCTCTCCAGTACAGGTTAGCTCTGAGTGTTAGCGATGCTAAGGTAAACACAGACCATATTACGTCCAAAACAGTCGGGCATTGTTTCTGATAGCAACTTTCTGATAGGGCCGTGGGTCCACATTTCCGATATTACGTCATATCGGACGCAAATCTGGATCAGCTCCGTTGTTCCCCCGTTTTTAGAGATTTGGGTACGGAGGAAAAGAGAGAGGGTTTTATTTTCTGACGCTGCGTGAGTTCACTGACACACCGGGGACACATATTTATGTATAAAAGACATCAAAAAGTGCATTTTGCATGATAGGTCCCCTTTCAGTAATTGATTGTTAAAACATGTGACACGTTTAGTTTAGTTTAGTTTATTTATTTATTTTCGAGCGTGTAAAACTAAAGAAAATACAAATGAAACAAAAGGTGATACAGACATGATACAGTACTATACAAATGAATGCAATAACAAAACGAAACATTTAATTAATAATTGAATAATCTGTAGTATCATTGTCTGATATCAATAAACAACAAAGCTTTAGCTAATTACACGTCCGAAAAGGGGTCGGAAGAAGTTTACACTTATTTACGTTCGAATGCTTGGGGGGGGGGGGGGCGTTGCGCGTTGCGCGTTGCGCGTTGCGGTGCCGTTCTGTGATTCTACAGATGGCCACTGCTCACAAGCTTATTAAGATCCAAAGCTTTAGTGCGTTTTGAATCAATGCTGAGTACAGCCAAACTTGACGGTCTCTTCTCTGTCATTGTAGACCGAATGCTTCTCGTTTTGCGCCGTCCCGTTCAAATGACAATCACATTTCTACGCTCGCGCCAGGGCCGGGGGAGGGGTTACAAGGCTCGCGTCTTGTGCTGCATTCACTTGCACTCGGACATTAGGGATTTTCTTTCATAAATGTCCGATGAGCCAAAACTTTTCTTTCAAAACAAAGCTGCCAACTGGGGTGGCAGCATATGCACCACCACCCCTCGCCCTCCACGATCAAGCGGCTTCTCCGATTTTGTTGTGTGTTTTGACTGAACTTTGTTACTGTTCACATATAAGTAAACATTACGTTTCAATGATTTAGTGAGCTGGTGTCAATGTTTCCCCTAGGATGGAGTCATAGCAGCGGTGCTAAGGCACGTGGGCCCAGCATAATGTGAGCGCGGAGCCTGTGGAATGTTTTAGTGTGTGCACGTGCGAAGTGCGCCCCGCCAATTTGTTTCTATGTGTCTGCCAGCACAAGAAAGGCTCTTGAGGCCTAGTACCAGGGACGGTTCTAGCCAATTTGCTGCTCTAGGCGAGATTTTATATATAAAGAATAAATGAAAAATCTCTACAAAAGACAAATACACTACAAAAACAGAAACTTATTGACATAGGTAATATACGTCAAAATGGCTTCAAATGTATTCAGTATTGTATGAACATGTTTGAATTGGGGGGTGGACGTCACATCCTCTAGGGGGGTCCGGTGGTATGCCCTCCCGGGAAGATTTTTTTGAACATTTTAAAGTAAAATGCTTCAATCTGGTGCACTTTGAGCACACAATTACTAGAGACCTGATCTAGGGGTTACAACTCTAAAACACCCATATGAAAAAGATCGGTTTACATTTGAATAATCAATAAGTATGTGAACATAACCAATAACCTACCATAGCCAATAACAAATAAATGTAACTTTTTTTATTTTTGTTGTTCATTCATATCTTATTTTACCTTAACATTTATTTATTCATATTTTTGTATCCCTCCAACTTTAAACGATATTTTTGGTTTACTGTCCTATAGTATGCATTGGAATGATTTCAAACCTGTTTTTATTTATCCTAATAAAGGAGTGCCTTGGAAATATGTGTTTACATAATTTGTGGTCAAAACGTTTGAGACCCACTGAGATAACTTAGACTAAAATTAACTATCCAAACACTCAGAGAGTCCTTTACCTCACTGAGCCTCTCAGTCTGACAGGAGAGCTCTCCTAACCCTAACCACCCTGGTTGTAGAAACATCTACTTCTTATATCCGTTAGCGCAGCTAGCACCAGATTCTAATAACAACAGCGCCGGTACCGGTGCGCCCTCTCTCTCTCTCCCTCGCTCGCTCTCTCGCTCCCACGCTCGCACTTTGGCTGTGAGCTGCCTGATAAACCAACATCCCCCACTTTCATCACTTACAGCGCCCATCGTACAGGGCAAATGAAAAGTGTAACCGGGGTGAAAAGGGTGTTACATTTACTTAATTATGAATGTTGTTACATCAAGGCCGAAAATTAGGATGGGCTCCAACGGTCAGAAATGTTTTTTCCCCTCCCAGAGCTACCCAGATCTGGCGCCCTAGGCGACCGCCTATGTCTCCTATGCCAAAAATCGGCCCTGCCTAGTACCAACAGTGGCAATGTCTCAAGATTTAGCAAAAATACACCTTTATTGAACATACAGTAACACAAATACTACAAATCCACATAACAAACAATCAAAAATGAAAAAGGGTAACCACTTATTATTATTTTAGTTAAAAAAAAAAAGTTAAAAAGAAAAAATAATATATATATATATATATATATATATATATATATATATATATATATTTTTTTTTTTTGGGTACCTGGTTGGCCAGAAGCGGCACGCATATTTCAGCAGCCGCCACTATTTGTGGTTTGAAAAAAATAACACCCAGTGTTTCCCCTATATACAAACGGCATATTGGCTATTTCAGCACCATGCGCTGTCCACCTACTTATTGATCCACTATCAGCGTCAGTGCACCCCGCTGCCAGATTGTGCCTGTGCTGTGTGTCATTCACTCTCAACATGGATAAAAGTACAATAAGCATTCTTCAGGTGTAGGTAGATTCTCTATTCGGACATTATAGCCTATATGTGCGACTGTCGGTCCGATATTTAACCCTTTAACTGCCAGACCAAGAAAAAAGCTATGGAAAAATTATTTGTTTGCATTTTTTTATCAAATGGGCCACAAATAATCACAAACAATTTTAATTTTTTTGACTGACCACACGGTTTTGTTTTTATGAGCCTCTACCAACTGGTCGAGCTGGCCTTCTATGGTAAAAGTGCATTTTCAACAATCATCATATACAGTACAGTATGTGTATGCATCAAACTCAAATAAAACACAACCTGAAATACATTTGTTTCTTTTATGGAAAATTAGCCATATATACAACCAGATAATTAATAAAAGATAATAAATTATAATTGTAAACAATTTTTTGGGGAAAAAAGTAATGTTAAAGGTTGGGGTAGGTAAGTTTGAGAAACCGGCTCGAGATACACTTTTTGTTATATTCCATGGAATGCTCTTAACATCCCGATAGCAATGAATATCTTAAGTGCTTTGACAAAAAATCCATAAAAAAATGTAATCTGTGGAAGCCGTAGTACTGTAAAAAGTACGACCAATCATTTTAGCCGGCCCGGCTAAAATAACTGGATGGCCTACCTGCCTGTCAGCCTTCCATCTGTGCACAAACTTATCTCGTGCCCTCATTGGTCATGTGCGCGTCCGTGTGTGTTGGAGGAGGGGCTCTGTAAGGAAGTAGCAGATTTCTTCCGGCTGTGTATTTTCAAATTCTAGCGATCTCGAGCCGGTTTCTCCAAAATTACCTACCCCACCTTTAAGTATTTTTCATAATAAAAAACAGACTTGCTCATCTTACTGTATATGCTGAATTGGCCTAACAGCAAATATCTATATCCTGTGTTGGCCTAACTTGCTCATTTGTGTGCAACTTTGGGCTGAATGCCATGCATGAAAGGTGCTATATAAATTATTATCACTCTTTCACTCTGAGACTCATAAGGCAGTACTAGATTTAGTAATATTACCATGAATCTAGCTATTTATTTACTATATTTTATTGGAAAACATCTCTGAAACTCTGAAAAAGTCATATTGCTTGTTTACCATAAAAGCCCAAATCGACCGGTTGGTTGAGCATATTTTCCAAATAATAATTACACCCTTGTTAAAACTTGTTTTGTGCATCAAGTTATCTAAATATGTTCAGTAAGTGCTCTGACACTAACATATGTCAAAAAGGATATGGTTACCTTACAAAAGTTGACCAAAAAGAGTGATTTCTTCAGGAGTGATTTTTAGCATGCCAACTTTCTCAGTGGAAGCTAGCTGAAGGGCTTTCTGTTCGAACCACAGTGACATCTAGAGGTTGTTACACTTTTTTATTTTTTTTTCAACAAGATATCAAGACACAAAATGTGCTCTACCAAATGGTGGCGCTGGCAGTTAAAGGGTTAACAAAATAAAAAATCTCAAAATAATCTTTTATTTTTATTCTCAAAAAAAAATTCCGGGCCAAATATTATTGCTGGCGGGCCACCAATGGCCCGCAGGCCGCCTATTGCCGACCCATGCTCTAGAATAACTCTTTGATAGCAGACAAACATGGCTGATGGCAATCTCTTGTGACTGGTTGGACTTTGCATTATGTAAAGCAAGAGTTTTAAATAAGACACATACCTTGACTGAAGAATGGACACATTAACACTGAAATGCTGATCGGTCTGTTTGCTGCTTTATCAATCAGACCTACATTCCCACACACACACAACACAAATCAAATCTAATGGTTTTGTTGCATTACACTTTTAATTTGTTATTTGTTGTGAAATATAACTGGTGATGTTGCGCAAGAGCTTTCCTGAAACATTACTATTTTTGCAAACGTATATTCAAATGCACCTTGTTTGTATTGGATTTTATTGCCAAATATTGAAATAATGTAACGCCATAACGACAGTTATTACTGTTTGCTACAGTAGTTTTAACATTAGACTTGTTTCAGAGAAATGTCACTTACTGAGAGTAATGAAAATGTTTGAGTGTGTCCTTTTCCTCCTGTCAGACTGATCAACCAGGTTCAGGCCAACTGTGCTCAGGACATCTTCATGAAGGTGGCCCAGAACATCTTTGCTGACGGCATCAACTGGGGGCGAGTGGTGGCTCTCTTCCATCTGGCCTACAGACTCATACACAAGGTAACACTACTACTACTTACATCAATCAGAAATATTGTGTTTTACGTCTGATTGCCTCAAAGCCTTATGATATCGTCCACAGTAGGGATTTTATGTTTGGGATGTAAATAATAACAAATTAGAAGGAAAAAAAGATTTAAAAAATACATATTTCAGTATTCTGAGCCCCATTTATTTTCCTCACGGACGGCAAAAAAAGTCAGACATTATACAATTATATTATATACAAAATCTTTTTATGAACCACACAGCTTCCGGTCTTCCAAGACTCGACCGGACAAAAAGACGTGGTGCAGGCACAAAACATTCTACCAATATAAATACATTGCTTTTAAAATCGTTCTGTGTGACACGAAGAAAAATGGGAAAATCGTGTTGGTGAACACGAATCAATAGATTACATTTATTTCGTGACTATAACACAAAATGCCGTGAGACTGGGTTGGGTGATCCCGGTCCAAAATGAGCACCATAGGAAATGAATGGGTAACCCCTAGATTATGTTCATCCATCCGACAACCATGTTAGTTTTGGAATACATTTTCAGTGTGTATTCTTTGTATATTCACTGCACTTATTCATGTAAACCAGCAGTCTGAGAAATTGTTTATAGTTTAAAAGGGAGTTTTAAGTAAGGTTTTTTTTTTTTTTGTTCTTTATGTAAGAGCATTTCAACCAGACCGGTTAAATTTGACCACGAACATCAAAGTAAGGGAGGAGAAAGTCAAGTTTTGTTATACACATGTGCATGGATCGGACAGAAGAATTTCAAACAGTCTTTTCTTTTTAAACTCCAGAACACTGTGAAGCAGATTTGTAACCCACCTTTTCTGGAAATATTTGGTAGATAAGCAGAGCCCTTTTCATATCAGATACCAATGTTCAGTCTTGGAAAGAGCTTTGCTTATTTTGTCTTAGTACTCTGCTTGATTAGACTGCTATCTCTTTTTGTAAGCTTCTCTTCTCTATTTAGTTTTTCATTGTGTTGGCATTTGGCTGAGGTGGTACCACAATATCTACCAGCTATCCACAACCTTTGCTACTGGACAACCAAAACACAAGAATTCAGAAAAAGTACCAAATTGAAAGAATACCCATGTTTAAGAAATGAAAGGACTCCCACATTTGTATTAAGATGCTGATATCCAGTAGTTGGCAAAGTGTATTGTACTTTTAAAATGTTTCTGATTGCAATGAATGCGTTTATTATTGTAACAATGCTGCCGACACGTCCGACAATTCCAAGGCCAGTTCGGGGCCGGTGCTTGCAATTCAATTTATATTTGTGGGTTTTAAAACAACATGAGCACAACTCTGACACATTCCACCGTTGTTAGTGTAGCGTGGAAAATTCCACGCTACGTTGCGCCAACATAAATGATGACGTCATGACGTGGCTTCTCTGGGGCTATGAGTGGAATAGCAAAGTGGGTCACAAGTTGAACCAACAACACTAGCCGCAGCAAGAACTAATTTCAGTGAAAGGGGATTCACATGGACCTGATTAAGGCCCCGTCCACACGGAGACGAAACGGGTGTTATCCGCTATAGTTCTTTATCGTATGGGCGGTTCGTCCACACGAGGCCGTAACGCAGGGGTGTCAAACTCAAATACACAGTGGGCCAAAATAAAAAAAATCGGTACTAGTCGAGAGCCGGACTGGTTCAATGTTTATTGCAAAACTTATTGAAATGAACTTATTGCACATATTTTACATTACATGTCACTTGTTAGACGCTTTTATCCAAAGCGACTTACATACTCAATACTGTGGACAATCCCCACAGGAGCAATTTGGGGTGAAGTGTCTCAGGGACACAACGACATGCTGACTGCAGTGGGGTTTGAACCTGTGCTCCCCTGATCCGAACACCAATGCACTAATCCACTGCGCCACACACCTCCCATTTTAATATTCCCATATTTAACGTGGAACTAACAAAGCTTAAATGATTGCCTATAAAAACAACATTAAACATTAAATAATCAGTTGCATTAATTTCTTATGGCTCTATCTGCAGCTTTTCCGGAGTCATTTCTTATGATTACATTTTTCCACAGGCCAACAACAGCTTCAAAAAAACAATTTCCCTCAAAGAAAAAAACAAACATGTGTTGTCGCAAGAAAAAAAGTGCAGAAGGAAACATCCATGTAAACTCAGTTTGCTGCTCTGTGATGCTAGTTCAAGCCAGATACTTGGCATTTCATCTTGGGTGCAAGTTCATCAATGTTTGGGCTCAGGCTCTGAGCTGAGGAAACCCTCAGGATTGAGTGAAGGTGTGCGTGCAATATACCGGCGGGCCAGATCTAATAGTAATTCAAAATTATCCTGCGGGCCGAAATTAAATCCACTACGGGCCTGATTTGGCCCCCGGGCCTTGAGTTTGACACATGTGCCGTAACGGAACCGCGGAAACGGAGCCCTCAAATGATAACGCATCCCAAAGTGGGAAGGTCTAGTAACGTAACGCTTGCGGCACCGTGTGTACACCCTAAACGATCATAGCCCCGCCTCTCCCCACCTCTGCTGCTCACCCCTACAACAACAACAACAGTGGCAGATCACAGGGTTGCGTTCGTGCTCCAGACGCTACTGACTATGATACAGATTTTAGTGCAACATTTACAGCTCCTCTACCACAACCATCAGCAACAATAATAATATAATAATAATAATAATCGTCAATGGTCTTATTCGCTGCTTTTGGTGTATTTGTGGCGGAAGTGCAGCGCCACTTACAGGCCCGGCATATGTACTACAGCGTCTCCAGCGGGTCGAGCGGTCTCGTGTGGACGGACACGTTTCTTCTGCCGATTCTGTGTGGACGGAAGACTTTTTTGATATCGACCTCGGTTCGTTTTCGTCTCCGTGTGGACGGGGCCTTAATGAAGTATGGATATTTACCCACAGATATGTGGCGTCAGTAGCTTACAAAGTTGTTCTGACTGGTCTCCTGTTTTTGCTTTTAAAGGCCCTGACCACCAACCATCTAGAGAACATCAGAACAATCATCGGCTGGGTCTTGCAGGTGATCAGAGAGCAGCTCTACTCGTGGCTGGTGCAGCAGGGAGGCTGGGTGAGTGATGTGCTACAATCATTCTACATGTTGGTTTAGAACTGTATGGAGCTACTAATCTTTCTTTGTCTGTTTGATCTTTCCAGGAGGGGGTGATCCGTGGTTTTTCTCAGTGGAGGACAGTAGCCATAGTAGCATCAGTAGCATTGGTAGCAGCTATTGTTTACTACAGGAAGACGCGCTGAGAGCTAAACACCTCACCACCAGGGCTGCAGTCCCATCTCCTGGATAAATGCAGCATGTTAATAAAGACAATCTCTGGACATTATTTACAACAACTCCATCTCATCAACCAGCGGAAGTCAAGTACTGGACTTAGAGGGGAGGGGGGGGGGGGGGGGGGGGGGGAAGATTCTCTCTTCTGGAACAAAGAATAATTGGGATGCTCTCAGCAGTGGCTTTCAGGAGATGGAGTAACAAACATGGGACGTATGTATAGAGGTCCTGAAACAGAAAAGAGGACCAGACTCCACCTGAACCAGGTCTCAGGTCCACATCTGCTATTTAAACTGGACCTGAGAGGGTATACCAATATTGGGAAAAGGAAACAACATATGGTGCATCATAAGTCAGCCAATCAAAATTCATCACTGATTTCTGTAGCTTTATCATGTCAGCCTTTGCTGGAAATGTGAATGTGTTTCAGCCCAGAGGCTACGCATTTGGCATGTGGTAGCACAGAAAGAGCTGTGGTCATCTCCATCCACCTGTCTCAGGGCCCTCGCACCGTGTCATGACATTGTAAATGTTATCAGTGAGGCAAAGTCCAGTGTCTTTGGGGGGGAAAGGTCTACAGCCAACAAAACACGGCTTTAAGTGTCCTGAATATGTGACTGAATTCACATTCAAAAATACATAACTGCTCGTTATGATTTCTAAATAGCTTGGACATTTCTTACCAAAATGATTCTTCAGAGTTCTTGACTTACCTCCTCAAGTTTTAATGTACCTATTTATATATAAAAACTCAAACATTTCCCTACTGAGTTGCCTAAAGTTTATATACTGATAATTCAACCACAGAGTTTGATGTCAATCATTTATCTATCTAATGTTGTCTATGCAGGAAACTAATGGGACTCTTAACACTGGGGCAAAGTCCTCCCACCACACTGCTGTAAAGGTGTGGGAGTTACAGGGAGAGATACTTTATGCTGATGCTTTCATATAGAGTCCATCCATTAGCTCAGGAACTGTGGTCAGCTGACCATCACTGGACTGTGAACACTGGCTCAAGTATCTAAGAATGACGCGAGGACTTTTTAAAACGCCTTGACGTAGCATCTATAAACAGAATGATCTGCACCCGCAGTGTGAAGCTCAAAACGAGGTGCAGGGAGGATTGTTGTAGGCCGACCGAGAAGTTAGCATCGCAAGGGCTCCTTGGATAAAAAGCCACTGGGATATTTCCTTTGGATTTCAGTATAATGCGGAAAATAGTCTCTGTGGCAAACAGATGTTTATGATACTTACCTTTTGTTCAGCAGGATAATCTGCGAACATAAACACCACTTTTATCTTTTTTTAAGTTTAAATGCAATTGCCAGAATTAAAAAGATGACATTATGCTATAAATGACTACATCACACTGAGTGCATCATGTCAACACCGCTTAGCTAAAGGTGGCTAATGTTCTTCGTGATGACGTTTAGCTCATATAGCTCTCATGTAGCTATTTCTTAGCAACCACCGATTTTATGATTCATAAAATCTTCGGACATTTATCAGTGGGGTTTTTACGGTATCAGAAAGAACATTGACTTTGACATTAGGACACTTCCACTATATTTCTGTTGCCCCTGTGAATGCAACAGGACCAACATCTGTAATAAAAAGGGAGACTAAGGACCAGACTATTATAGTACAAAAAACATTCTCCACAGCTCTATAGAAAACCTCCTATATTGGTTAATTATTTAAACTAATGCTTTTTGGTTATTGCGATGTGTCAGATGATGTGATGGATGGTTTCCATGGGAACAGTCAGTAGCCTATAGCAGAGCCAGATGCTGTTATCTGGTACCATGAGATCTTTTGTCAGGGATTTTTGCTACCAAACTGATCCTGCACTTTGAGAGGGATATCAAACTATTTATCTGCTGTTCTAAGGTGTTTGTAATGTGACCTGATGAATATTTTATTGTTAGAAACAATTATCTCATTGGATTCCATTTCTGTGAATGAATTAAAAATGTGTTTTACCACTGCTCTCTTGTGTGACTAGGTCATATTAGTGAAACCATTTTTGAATGCACTGGTCAATTTCAAACATTTTTGGCTTTTGTTATTTCTGTGATAAGTCATTTTTTAGACTAGTGGAAAGTAAACATACACAATGCACATTTAGATGTTTATTTTGCTGACTTTGTCTATTCGTATCTGCACATTTCCCCTCAAATCCCCAGAAGTAAGTGTTGATGACGCTTCAATTGCATAGTTAAACATTAGGAAACGGTAAAGGGGTAATAACCACATATATATAAATGTAAGTAAATAACTGGGGAAGTTTAATTCAGATATATCTATTAGTTCTCTTCTTGAAACTGTTATCTATCATATGTTTGTTTTTTTATTAATTAATTTTAAAGCACTTTGTTTTGAAAGATGCTATATAAATAGCAAAGGGTACTATTATCAATATTAGGCTTTTCCAGCTCCACAACTCGACTTCCTCTACTGGTATTCTGATCGACATCACAGATCTTCCTCTCATTGTTATGAGTCCTGGTTGGCATTTTAAGAAACAGCAGTTCAGAGTTCAGTGAACTGTTGTTCCTTCTGCCATGTTTGCTCTATTTAGTGTATCTCAATCTTCTCTGTGTATTGAAAACGTTTTCAAATGTATTATTTTCTCATAAGTAAAAAATATTGTCTGATAGTATGTCTGCATAATCCTCTCAAGACTTTATTTAATCTCTGGGACGTTTATGCTGAGATATTGAATCGCAAAAACCACCATGTTCAGACCCCTGCCACAGGGGGGCAGTGGAGGTCAATTTTTAGCAGCCTCCATCCATTTTGTGGTAATCCACTACCAAATGTTTAACATCTTTTCTGGAATGAATCAAAAACTTTGTTGCATCTCAATTCTGACTTTGGTCTCGGTTAAAGAATCCTCCGAATTAATTCAAAAGAAAACATCTTAAATGTATTTGTGTTCTTACTCAAACCTCAGAACTCAAATAGATGTTTCACACTTGGGTCTAATCCTCCTCTGTAATAATGTATAACCGAGTCCTGTGCATCTTTTCTAATCAAGTAAATACAATAATGTATAATTGAGTTGAGGAAAACACATGAATACTTCAGGACACATTGAAGATGGATGCCCCCACCGAGGTACAGTATTCTCTGGAGTCTGGCATCAGTCCGAGCCTCAGTGGCCATGATCAGGTCTTGGGTTTGTGCTGGTATGTGTGACTGAGGTCAGGAATGCTCAGTGTGAGGCTGGGTTTATGAGGTTAGGAGGAGGGGGGGGGATGAGACAATGTGAAGGAGAACTGGGCTGTTGTTGCCTCAGCTTACCTCCACTTGTGGTATTTACCACTTACTGTTGGTCATCTTGCAACGTAGAGTACACTCACTGCAAAACAGCTCATATGTTACAGCCTCCACACCTTTAACTGAAGATAAGCTAATAAAAAGGTCAGAAATGTAATAGAAAAAACGAAAGCTGTCTGCAATAACGTTACTCAGTAATTCAATCTACAAGCATGCTTTTTTTTTAATATTATGTTTTGCTTGTAAAATCTCAAACGTTCTACGGGGGGGGGTTCTACATTACAGCCCTGTGGGTGTAGAGAGCAACAATAGCATCTGTCCAGGGCGCTAGCTGACATGAGGGAATACATTTATAAGAGACAGAAAAAGGGGAACACATTAAAAGCAATTCCATTACCAATGATGCTATTTTCTTTGATATAACTCATTCTGTGCATCTGCTCTACATTACCCACAAGATGATAATTTGACCACAGCAAAACTAAAACATCCTCTATCTATACAACTCACACAGTTTCATCCAAGCCCCATTTATCCAGCTGAATGTTTGATAATTGACTACCACATGCATTTTTCACTAAAACATTTAAAAAGGTGGATTTGTACGAATAGGTAGAACTCCTGAGTAAGGTGAGATTGTTTATGCACAGGTATAATAAATGATAATGTTTCAGATTAAATGCATTTGTTTGTAAAGTAGTGAGCAAACCACTCGATCATTGAGACTTAGATTGCCGAAGTGCTTTAAAAGCACATTCTCTCTAATGGCCAGCGGAGGGCGACACCCTTGGTTGCTTAAAGAAGTCAGATTGTATAGAAGTTCATGAGAAAATGTCCGTACTTCTGACTTGATTTATTACCTTAAGTTAACATTTTCCTAATGAGTTTATGGTCTCAATCTCTGCGTTCAGGTCTTCAAATTATGATCCCATTAAGAGTAAAATAAAGGATAAAGCTGGGTATGATTAGTTTAGAGAATATATGTAAAAAGATAATCTGGCACATTTTTGTCTTTTTTTATGCTCTTAAATTCACACTTTCACTGTTTCAAAGGAGTGGGTGGTCTTTATTTGAAACCCCTCTCCAGTTCTTCCCACTGATCCAGGCCTTTCATTCTGCGGCCCCTCCCTTCCTCCATCTGCTACAGAAGTGCAGTGTCTGGTTATTTTCTTTTAATGACACACTATTTTCTTCAATTGTTGATTCTATTTTCACTGTCAAGTTTTCAAGGTTATGATTTACCTCATTGTGAGTTGAAAATACTATATTGTGAAGACAGGATAATTACCTTGTTTGAGTTCATTTGTGAAGTGCTGTTTCTGCAGGGACTCCCATGGTGTGTCAAATGTAAATGTATTCCATTCCTTTCTCAATTGAACAAAATATGAATTACTCATATTTTCAAATGATAATGAAATCTGGAGCTGATCCTGTTGTCTTTTCTGGACAGATGTAGCCTAATTTGTATTTTTTTTCTCTCAGTACTTGAGTTGATTAACTCAATAATGGCTTCATCATATATTTGAGGTTAAAGGTCACCTATTATGCAAAATGCACTTTTTGATGTATTTTATACATAAATATTTTTTTTTTGCCCCGGTGTGTAAGGAGACTCACAAAGTGTCAGAAAATAAAACCCTCTGTCTTTTCCTCCTTTCCCACATCTCTAAAACAACGGAGCTGATCCAGATTTGCTGCGGTCATGACGACTTTACTCAAATGTGGGCTGGCTTTACGTTGAACTCCTGGCAACGTGCCCCCACCCAACCTATCGTCCCCTATCAGAAACGTCGCTGTATCAGAAACAATGCGCGACGTGTTTTGAAAGTAATATGGTCTGTGTTTACATTAGCAAGCATCGCTAACACTCAGAGCTAACGCTGTACTGGAGAGAATATGCGTAAAGGCGGATATAAAAAGGTACACTCGTGTGGTAAACCCGCGAGAGAAAAAGCATTTGAGCTCCTTACTGTTTCAGAAATAATGCTTGATGTGGTTTGGAACATAATATGGCGTTTAATCACGGCAGCGTTTAGCTGTATCTGCCGGTAGAAACCTCTCTTCACAGAGGAGAGCTCATGAATGCTCCATAGGGGCGTGACCAGCAGCAGCTCCAAAGGGGCGTGGTCAGCAGCAGCTCGGTTACATTTAAAGGGCCAGACCCAGAATCAGCACTTTTGTAACAGGGCTGAAATAGAGTGGTATGAGGCATACTACAATGGGTGATCTGTTTGGTATTTTGAGCAAAACGCTTCAGAGACATGTTTTGTATATATCTGAGACCTATAATATGTGCCTAAAAATAGTATAATAGGAGACCTTTAAAATCTGTAAATATGCACTTCCTTGTTAAAAAGACTAAACTTAAGGTCACACTAGCTAGTTATATTTTGTACATTGGTGCTCCGAGCTAAATGATAACATTATCTAGCAAACATTCTCACAATGACAACACTGACACATTCATATTTAGCAGAAAAAGTTTACCATGTTCATCATCTTAGCTTAGCTTGTTAGTATGCTAACATTAGCTAATTAGCACTAAACACAAAGTACAGTAGAGGTTGATAGGAATGTTTTAGTTTTGAATGTAAGTGCTCATTAACTAAAATATTAAATTAAACATTTGAAGTGATCATCACCAGAACCTGTAGGATCGCTTTGGACCAACATTGCTATCATTTGAGCCAAAAGAGAGATCCGGTCCCTGGTAAAAATGTTACTTTTGTCTCTCCCCATTTGACACATAAAGTGTATCAGTGAAATCCTCTGTGACATTTCCTGCGTGGGGAAAAAGAACAGGAATTGATATTCAGGGCAATCTGTAAAGCCTTTTACCCACCATGACACCACTGATAAAGTTTATGAATTAGTGCTTTTTTGAGGTATCTTTGAGACATTCCCTCTCGCTCCCGAAAATAACTGACTGAAAGTGATGCTGCATATTTTGGAACTCACTGCACTTACAGTATGGTAGATTAGATACCAACTACAACAAAATGAACATATTTTACCGTGATTTAATTGTAATACACGTTTCAAAATGATGCCGGAATAACTACATACTGATACCGGTTAGTAAAAACCATGAATTAATGCTTTGACAAGTCTGCAGACAGACGGCAGGGGAAAAACCTTTTAAAATGCGTGTTTTCTGAATGGAGATCGGATCGATCAGGCTAAGCTAACGTTGTAGCTGCTCATTCCACACTCACAACAACGTCATACAGACAGAAATAAACCAGCGACTGTATTCACCATGACACAGACAGCCTGTGATTTGTACATGTTTAACTCTTGTCCAGTTTCTGAACAGATATGAGGAGCTGTGAGCTCTGTGTGCTAACAGCTAACGGCGGATGTTTTGTTTTTCTGGTTCAACGTCACTGACGGCAGGCTGAGATCCTCACCGCTGATTGGCTACCGCGCGAACACGTTCGCATCGACCGCGTCTGTCCGCGTCTTTGCATTGACTTTACATGTAATCGCGCCACCCCCAAAAATCGCATCGCCTCCGGTGTTTACGCACACCGGACGCACGGATAAAGAATATTGTTAGAATTTTGAATTTGTAATAATTGTGTTAAAAATAACTAGTTTTAATGTTAAATGTTGCATTTGCATGAAGCTTCATTGAATAAGCCTCACAGTTAAAATTGCACTTTATGTTATCTGCTCACTGCAAGATGTTATTTTTTTCTTTGTTGTTGTTGCTGTCAACAAAATAATTGACTCATTCGTTCAAACAAATGGAAAATAAGCTACATACATTTATATTTAGGATTGTAATGAAGGAATGAATGAAACTTAAAATGATAGGTATGATGTAAATATATATATTTATCCTTTTTGACATGTTAGTTATGTTGTGTTCTTGGTTTAATCAAATTGGAAGTTGCACCAAATGATTTGATGTAATTCAGATGCAATTAGCCGACATACATAAAAGGGCTGTCTTTTTCACTCAATTCTGCAATAGGTAGATCTCGCCTTTCACCAAGGCCGAGGTCGGGGATCTTGGGCTTAAAAAGGTTGGTGACCACTGTTCTAAGCAGTAGGGCCAAACAGTTAACAATATTACATTTACATTGGGTACCAGAATTAGAAATCATGTTCGATTTTGAATTGCAGAGATTAAGAATTTGTTCACAGATATTGCGGACTCTTTATTGCCCAGCCTCGTAATGCAGACACATGGCTGCTACATACAGCTAGACTATGTATATATGGCCCCATCTTCTTCTATTTCTGAATTAAGTGCATGTGTATACTAAAAGGTTATCCCAGTTATTGTCTGGGAACTAAAGAAGCTTCTGTCCCTGTAATGTAGGCATAATGTCAGCTATCAGCATTAGTTGAAAATAATCAGTCTAACCCTAACACACACAGAGCGTTTGGTAGTTTTGGGATTGAAGTCCACTGTAAGTGTTGACAACATTAACTTCCCATCTTCCCAGGCTGATACATCTGCTGCGAGCTCAGCCAAGTTAAACACACACGGCACCTGCCAGAGGACGAACAGTAAGTCCTTCGCTCCGCTGGCTCCAGTCCATTTTTCTCCTTCTCTGGGTCCATCACAGTGAGATAATCCGCTCATTAAATCCAACTGTTGTTCCTTGTCTTTTTCTCTGAACAACCTTTATCTTCAGGTCAGAAGCTCAGTATTAGTCGCGTAACTCGCTGCAGACTAGATGGTGGGATCTGTGAAGTCTCGTCTGGCAAATCCTTTCTGAAAAAACATGAAGACACAATGAAAACACTTGGAACAAACGAAGTAAAGCAATGTTCCAAAGAATGATTTACAAACAGCCTGTGTGGCCATCCACCATTGGCTGCATGCTCTGTCACCACAAGGTATTTCCCTGTCTAACTTCCTGTTTACAGTTATTACCATGTATATCAGAATTTAAAGGCAAGAGATCTGGCGACAGTAAGACTCTATTTATTCAAATAATTGCTGTTCTCTGCATCGCTCATTGTTCACAGTCCGATAGACAACTTCTACAACACTATTCTTTAAAAAGTAGCCCATTGCCATGGGAATATTTTTGGCTAAACTGTCTTCAGAGGCAATCTTATCCCATTGCCTACAGATGACAGCATTCATATGCATCTGTCTACAGAGATAACATTAATGGTGATTTTCACCTGCATATTTGAGTCTTTAATAACCTACAGCTTCCTCTGAAGTCTGCTGCCATATTGCTCCAATTTTAACTTCATTACACTGGCTTCCAGTTTTCTCTAGAATCCATTTGGATATTATTTGAATTGCTTACAAGGCTTACTTTTGTTCAGTTTCTTCACTCATCATCCCCAGCACCAATTCCTTGAAATGTTACCATTAACATACTTAATAATTATGTTAGGCCCTACACCAGCTAACCAAATACGGTATGAGGTGACTTTTTCAGCTTTAAAAACTGTTAAAGAATGCAGAACATGTAAGCAAACCGTTGGCTATTGACTAAGAGCAACATTATGGTGTTCATGGCCTATCATCAAAATGTAAGTCAAGTTGTCTTTTTGCTTTGTTTGGTCTCCACCAAGTCCTGACGAATATATCTGGCTTATTGGCTGCTACATGATTCATTGTATTTCATATTTAGTGTGTAAGTTTGTCTTTCTGCTGATTAGTGCTGGGTAGGTAGTGTACAGGGGCTTTATCAGAGACTCTCAATAAAACTGACAATAGTGCAAATATGTTTTTAAAAAAGTGCAATGTGGCCGAAAACTAAAACAAAGAGCTGAAAGGTGCTAAATAGCCAAAGAGAGCTAAAGAGCACCAACAGCTAGTGGGTTTATCACTAAACTAGACGCCTTCCATGTAAGATCCAGTCATCTGATCTCTTGCCAAAATAAAAAAAATAGATAACAACTTGAGTCCATACACCCAGGCTGGACATTGACATCCTTTTTTTGAGATGATGAAATATTTTGACGGGAAAGGAAATGATTCACCCTCTGGGAACCACGAATATCCACGAGAAACATCTCATTTCATGGCAGTCTTTCAAAGAGCTTTCTAACAGGGTCCAGTACTGCACTGTGAAAACGACAGAGAGAGTGCAGCAAGGTTTGTGTGAACTGCATGAGAATGGTTCGAGGACACACAACAGGATATCTATCGAATGTAACAACTTCACCATGGTCACCAGCAGGCACACAAACACAAGGCTTTTGTTTGCTGTGTCAGGTGATTTAGTTCAATGGGGCCTGATGTGTGGGTGTGAGGGGGGGGAGGGGGATACAGAAGGAAAACAAAAGGGCTTTCCAAGTCCACATAACCAAAGTCTTCTTCGCAGAAGGCTCACAAAAGACAAACCTAAAGTATGTGAGCCAGATACTCTGCATTCCTGCTGAGAGCACTCGCTGAAAAACTAAAACCAGAGTCAACCTCGGCCAGACTCCGTGGGTGATAGACAGAAGTAGAGTATTCCGGAGATAACGCAGGGGTTCTCACAAGAATTCAGAGGAAAGGAGTGTCCTCAGTGTGGGAGACAAAAATAAAGGATTTGTCTGAAGTTATGCAAGAGGAGTTTTGATGGTCAGCTTTCCCTTGTTATTTCCACTTACTGTTACACAGCCCTGACAGCAGGCATTAGAGGAGTTATCTTCTATACCCAGCGTGGCATTCCTCAGCAGATTGGTCAAACATCCTCCTATAAAAGGAGCTCTCTTGTTCGTGCTGAGGCTGCTGTAATCCTGTTAGCCACTCACTTTGGATCTTTATCACCTTCATAACATTTCCCATGTTTCCACTGCATGGTACGGCTCGGCACGACTTCAATTAGCTCATTTATGCTACCAGGTCCTTCTATCTATTTCATTTTCAACTCAGATAATATCGTTTTGCTAACACATTTATTTCATAGCAGTTGTCAGGTTTGTGATTACAGCTTGTTTTGCTTCCTAATAAAGTGCACAATAAATCACTTAATACTTTTTTCAGTCATTTCACTAGAAAACAACTCCTGCATATCTTTTGTGGTACGGATTCCCTGATTTAAGCTGACCGGGAAGAAGCCTGAGAACCAGTTCCTATCCACACAAATATTTCATAAATTGAACAACAAGTAAACGCCACGCTCCTTAATGAAAGCTAAAAGACGCCGCTTCAATCATCACAAATACCCCATTAATAATAAATAAACAACTCTTTGGAAATAATGACCTGTGTATGAAAGGAGTTTTGGTCAAATAAACCTTCTAAGAGTGGTACTCTGATGCAGGTAACATAGTAGAATGGCTTTGATGCACAAAGCTGCTCTCAATTCCTAATCAGGAGCCAACAGGTGATCCAAATCAAATCAGAGGATCTGGGAATATCAGGAAAAAGGAAAAAGGAATGAATTAGGAGCTGCCACAAATGTATTGCTTATTTTGGGAAAGTATTTAGAATTATAAATAAATAAAAGGTTGTTTCCTGGAGATTATCAAACCAAGACAACATCTTATTTGTTCCTAAGAATTCTGACTACACCTTCCATTTTCAGGTTGAAGTTCTCTCTACAGTACATCCTCAGAAATAATAGTCATGAATCAAATCATTAAAAATGAAAATGGCATCACCACTGCTTTCCCAATGTGTGGGAGGAAACTCTACAGTTTAATAGATATCAGCTACAGAGAAAATATTTGCGTTTGAGGAGCCAAGTGTTCTCAGATAAGGCCTGGTCAGAGGCTAAAAACAGGCTTTCAGGACTGGGCAAAGGAGCGAAGGAGAGGACCAATGGGAAGAGAGGAAGTGTGTGATAAAAAACAGATGTGTGCAGACGCAGACCAGAAAACCATCGGCTGCAGACAAAGGTCTAGAGCACGAAGTCAGCCGACACCCACACACTGCTCTCCATTTTGACTCACGACGTGTCTTCATTCACAGAGACAGAGAACTGAAAAGATTCACTGTCCCACTGCCAACACAAGACAGTAGACCAAGAATATATCATCTAATCTAATCTGGTAATTCACAAACACATGGAAAATATGATTTGGTTTTATTACATAGCTCAGTTCAACAGACCATGGATAACTTTGAGTTATCTTACCTAACCCTAACCGACTCACTAAGCGGTCCTACGACACTGGTTATCAACTCGGTAAATCAACCCAGGGTTTCTCTGTCCGGCTGAGAGTGTGTTCAGGTGAAAGGGGCGGGGTTAGCAACATTTGACCAATCACAAACCTGGAGAAGCTTACTGACAGCACAGCGTCATACTTCATGAATGAAGAGTAAACCAATATTAGACGAATATGAAAAAGTTAAACTTTAAACATGCATGACTTAAACACTTAATCCAGGATAATCCATAGTTGCAGCTGCAAGGTCAATACAGAACAGCTGGTAAAAAAAGATTCTCATGACAACATTTCGCTTAGGGCCCCAATTTGGCACTGAGTAAATATGATGTGATATGAGTGATAAGTGCGACACGTCGGCTTCTGCACTCACAGTGTCTACCCCGGTAAGATCAGCGGTGTAGGACTGAAAACCCAGAGTTAGCCCCGAAGATACCTCGCTAACCCCAAATCCTGCTTCGTAGTACAGGCCTCAGATATGGTGGCACATTTTAGCGAATTTGTGTTTTTATTTACATATTTACAAGTAAACTTGGGTGGGCAGTGGTTGCTCTGTTATCCTTTGTGTTCCTCTAATATACTTTGGTTGCAGACTTCAATTTATGACATGACATATATCAATATCAACTGTTGTATCAGAAGAATATTGTCCAGCCCACAGATAGGGCAAAGTGCTAACGCTAACCATTCGCAGCTACAAAGTGAGGCTACAGCCTCATCATAATTTATAAGAGAGTTTAAACACCTGTAGGCCAAGATATTTATACAGGATTATACACCGATGGGGTACAGGCTTTATCACAACCTTTAGGACGATATCAATCAGCACTGGTATCTTCTATTTTACAGGATTTAAACAACATGATGCAACAATATCAGCGCAGCCAACTGTAGGCCTACTCAACAGCGTCAACATACACTGTCCCATCCACCAACAGTACTATGAGCAACTGTTCTCATATATCACATTTCTTTGTGCACGCTATTTTCCAGAACACTTTTAATAAATCAAAAAGTGTTTGGGACATGTACTTGGTCTCCCCAGTGTAAATGACCCCTGTGAGCACTATCATGAATAAACTAACTAACCAGGTCATACTGGGTGAATGTCCTTAAAAGCCTGGGGTTCAACTATTTTAATGAAGACTCTTTTCATCTGGTTTCAACTCAAGTTTACTCAGAGCCACAGGACAGAGGACAGAGGACAGAGACAGCACTGTAACTGAAGGCTGCCTCCCACTCGGACCAAATCCCAAATCCTTTCACTAACTATCATCAATCTTTCTTAAGATGGATGTGTTTGAGAATGTGGTTCTTTTCTCAAAACAGTGTGAACAGAAGCCCACAGTGAGATCAGTGGAGGGGGGACAAGAGGTTCTGGGAGAATAACAATAACCTCTTTGCTGCCCGACCCTCCTCAGCTGCTGCAGGTTAAACACACTCGGGAGCATTTATGCTGTTCCAAGTTCACTGTGCTGTCAGCAACAGATAAAACACTCACTTCCAGCACACAACAATGTGAGGCAATGTGAGGCCACATGGATCTGTAGCTGCTCTTTGGAAGTGGATCTAAACCTGTAAGAAGTATATACAGGTTTCAAAATGGTTGTGGAGAAAAACAAACTTTTTAAAAGTTCACTGGAAACAAAAAAGTTGATGCCCATTTTAAAAAGGTGAGAAGCAGCCATCTCTAACATTTCCTTACGTACCACCTTCACACCGAGGAGGATTATTTTTAAAATGTAAAACTTTTGTAACCAGTGTTGCAATCCATATTTAAGTCTGACCAACCACAGGTTTCCCAAGGATGACGGTAAACGCCCCTAAGCCCCCCAGCCAGATGTGCTCCTTTTCTCTGTTTTATAGCAGTACAATTTCAGTTTCCTCAGGTTCTGACTTTTGATGACTTTTGCCCGTTGTTATTGTGTGCTTGTGACTTGCAAATAAATGAATGTAATAAGGACAAAAGTTCAATTTATAACCAGGAAAAGTAAGTAGGCTAAGAAACAGTGTTCTGTCGGTCTTTCTCCTCCTGACAGATCTGTTTCAGTACTAAGACAGTGGGTGTTTCTCAATCTCGAGTAAAGCTGCTCCAGAGCCACTATTTCAAGCATACTACGTCATCGAGTGCCGCCGAAGGACTGTTCCAATGTCCAGCATACTTGGAAATCTACCGAGCCCGGCGTACTTCGTTTGGAGAAATTTCGAGGCTGCACATGTGTAGACTCCGCGGTCTTAAAATCCCCACAATGCTTTGCGCACGGACCAATTTCCCCAAATCTGTGAGGGAAAATGTAAGGCGGGGCCTCTCATATGACGCACACCTGCACACTTGCTCGCCTGTTCCACTCTTTGTTTTCCGAATGCCAGGAAGTATTCTTGCCTCGCTTCTGAAGCAAGTGACTCGGAAGACATGTGCTACAAAGCAAGCGTACTCGACATTGAGAAACACCCAGTGCCTCACCTACACACACACATACACACACACCCTGCCGCTACACACACCAAACAGCCCAGCTCTACAACAACAGCTAAATTAAAGTCATATGTATCAATTATGTTGATTTTGGCTTTTTTTCTGTACAGTAGATACAAAATGCCCACACAAAGGTGGATCAATGGGAAAAAAAATGTGACAATCAGTAGTCGATAGGCAAGACTTGAGCAGTCAGATTTAACTATGTAAAACATCTGATGGTGGTGACCAACAAATAACTGTCATTACATGTATGCACCCTGATGGCTCCAAAACATGTTTGTGCGTCAATGAAATGACGAGCGTAGCTTTGTTAACATGTTGTAATAATTCTGGTGTTGCGATCAATAAGCCCAACCACAGTGTACCCATTAAAAACCTTTGACTCATTATCCAACAATAACAGATATAAGTTGCAGCCCTTATCGTTTTCTTTGTCAATTTGTCCTGAGCTAAGATTGCAAGCTCTTGTTTTTGCGGTCTCGGTATGTGCCTTTCTCTTATAAAAGGTGACATGTTTCAGCTGTGTTTATCATTTTTGGTCCATTTGATATAATAGCATCAGCAGCTGTGGGTCTTACCAGCTTGTAGTCTCTGTGCAGTTTGCTGTACTGGAACATGTTGCAGAGGACAGTTGATGCTGCTCTGGCAGCTTTTAGACCCCCAGAGCTAAGTGAGGACACAGTGAAAGACAGTTAGAAACAAGGAGGAAATACCAGAGCATAAGCAGAGGGGAGAGACCAAAGATAAACATTTTAAAATGATCTAAAAATGATCTAAGGGTCACTATTTTGTGTGGCCAGAGGGGAAAGCAGTATGTTAAGTCTCTGACAGCTAACAGATGTCCGGACGTAAATAAACACCAATTATAGGAACGTAAGTATTCACAGATCAGGGAATCATTCTGGTTCTGAAGCTATGTTTTCTCGCTGTACCACACTGATATATGAGTATTCAGTAAAAGTCAGTCCTACCTGTTATCATGGGATGTCTTGATTCCAATCAGTTTCGGCAGGCCGTTGAAGTATGAGACGTCCCGGGCTGCCAAGGAGCTGCAGGTGACCAGGTGATTGAGGGCTCCACAGATGTTGACTACCACCTCGCTGCAGGGTGTTTTCTGAAGGCCGTCACTGGGCAGCTTGGTCACCAGAATGTTCACCATGTTTTTAGCTGCCAGGACAAAGAGCGATGGATAAATAAATGATATGACCACGATGCACGGTTTTCTGTTTCATGTGATCCACCAATATGGACTACAATAGCCGACCTGTCCACATAGATACCCTCGTTAATTTAGGATGTACAGCCACATTCAGTGATCTTTAGCCGTGTTCTAAAGGCTTAGTTCTTACCTCTCCACTTCCTGTCTCTCTACGACGGTTCTATCCATTAAAGACAAACCAAAAATATAAAGAGTCTTTGTCTGTGTCGTACCGATGTGGTCTTTGTTGGTGGAGTGTCGGGCCAGGTTCCTCAGCAGGCCGGTCAGAGGCCTCAGCTCCGAGGCACTGTTGGTGTCTAACAGATCCAGCAGGATGGGCAGCATCCTCTCCTGCTCCAACACCACCCCACTCAGAACCGCCGCCCACTGATGGGAGGGGCAAAGGTTACATGAGCCTTGTGTTGCCTGTGTGCTATAGAGTGGTGCAGGGGAACATGCACTTTTGTAGGAATACCAGGATGTTAGCATTGCCCTGGTTCCCTCTACAAAATACAATGTTATTTTTCCATAGAATCTTTGAATATTGCCAAAAAGAAATTATCACACATTTTGTTCTGCAAGTTAATCTCCATAAATTAACACTAAATGAAATCGCCAAAAAGCTACGTCACGGTCCCATGTGTGTTGACGTTTGGTAGTCCGTACTGACGTTTTTGATGACATGTAAAAGCTTCAGACATTTACCAGTGAGGGTATTTACAGATATATGTTATGTCCTAGAACAAAACATTAACATCCTTTAAGCCAAAACTAATTCAAAAAACCATTGACTTCAAGACGAGGCAACAAGAAACGCAAAAAAGCTAATTCATTTCTGTGTTTCAGGCCTCATTCCTGCGCCACTCTGTTGTTTATTTCCTTGAGGAAGACTCAAGTGCCAAAGCAACTGCACAAGACAATGAGTCAGTCATTTCAGAATAAACATGCATACTGTATATTTGTACGACGTTGAGCTCGTACCCGGCCCTCTCCTGCAGTGATGTTCTGCAGCGCTCCTACGGCCGCCTCCCGGCTGGTGGAGCTGCAGTCGCTGTTCTGCAGAACAAGCTTGTACAACGCCACCATGTTAGGGTGCCAAAGCCACTCAGCGCCATTAGGTTGTCGGGACACTTCAGACAGTATGAACATATTCTGGTTACGCTGTGAAAGAGAGAAAGGATGTCCATTTATTGTACAGTAACATACAGTGCATTCTGTTTAAATGTTATGATATTTATCACTCTTATCCGTCTTTTGATAGAATGTTTTCTCTTGAGTTAGCTGGTATGTTAGTTAGCTAGCTATAAGTAGCCCTTGCCAGGGTTGGGCCCCAGCCTGTCGCTCTGCAGCAGGACGCTGTTGGGTCTCATCTTTCTGATAACTAAAGAACTAGCCAGATGAACAGACAGAGAGACAGGTCACTATCCTCAGGGACAGATGAACAGACAGAGACAGGTCACTATCCTCAGGGACAGATGAACAGACAGAGACAGGTCACTATCCTCAGGGACAGATGAACAGACAGAGAGACAGGTCACTATCCTCAGGGACAGATGAACAGACAGAGAGACAGGTCACTATCCTCAGGGACAGATGAACAGACAGAGACAGGTCACTATCCTCAGGGACAGATGAACAGGATATAAAAGCTTCCTGTTTAGCCTCCATGAAACCGTTGCTAAGCAATGCTACATCACATGGAAAAGCAGGTCACATGGTTAAAGAGGTCCCTTTCTCCTGACTCCATGAGAACATACATGTTGACTTTTCATTGGCCTCCACAGCCTGCTATTGAGAGGAGAAATGTGATCTGCTGGTGGAGTAAACCGATCCTCCCTGTGGACCCAGAGACACTTCTAGAGTTTCTGTGTTCCACAGACTTATTATATCTAACTATGACTGAGATACCTGAGAGAACAACGGCTTGAGCTTGATATTTTGCTATTTGATAATTGTAATATCTTTTAAAAAGTGTCATTTCTGATAATGATGGTGCATACAACAAACCACACTTGAGATGCATGTGCATGCATAGTGTGGCCCAACATTGGTTGGCTACATATTTGATACAACACTGTTATATGACCTTGACACATGCAACCTTTTTACAATACAGAGAGCTCCCCAGTGGAAGATAAGCTGGTCCCATGACATGAACACAATGAGTATGATATTCATTCAGCCAGCAATCCAGAACAGGAGAGGAAATGTTCAAGGTTCAATGTTCTTTATTTGTCATACGAACATAGCTACAGAGTAGTTATGTCGATGAAAATCTTAGGTCACACGCTTCTTCTCCAACAGTGCAACACAATAATACAGATAAACAGAAAAATATAGTGCAAGTAAATATTACAAAGTAAATACAAAAAGAAAAAGTTTTAAAAAAGTGAAATAGTGAAATAAGAGTCTATATGCAAGCTATTGGAATGATATATTAGATAAATAGATACATAATTACTAAGTAGCAGATGAATGTTATGGATATTGTTAACATGTTTGGAAATTGTTGATGTTGTCTCTGAGATGGTAATAAAATCAGCTGAAAACAGTAAAGCAGTCATAATGGAAATGTGAAAATGGACTGGATTTTCCATTGCCAGCAGAGAAGTTTGCTTTCCAGTTTGTTTTCCTGACGTTTCATGTCACGAGTGTGCCATAAAGCAGTTGATGTCGTTTGCTAGAAAGTGCAAGGTTTTTTTGTTTCTGTTGTGTTTCAACGAAGTGTATTTTACATTGATCAGTAAAATCACAGTGATTGACAGAGTGTGTTAAAAGGGGGGTATAATCATTTTATGTTAATAAATTATAACAACTGTCCACATTGTTTCTCTTGTGATAATGATTCTGAAAATCTTAAAATGGGGGTTGTGTATCAGGGGATTTTTACCTCGTTGTTTTTTTTGTTATACATAGTGAAGCAGCCGATGGCCTCACTCTCCTTGGAGGCGGAGGCCCTGGACGGGCCCTCCAGACGCAGCCGGACGGACGGAGGCAGCTCCGTGTACAGCTGGTAGGACAGATTCCTCATCACACACAGTGAATTCTCCAAACCCTAAACAGAAACACAATGGAGTGTTTACAAGACGAGGGGGGAAGTGGTATTAAACGCAATAATAAATAAATATCTAACCTGGTAGAATAAGCACTCAGATTTCCTGTAATGTTTAACAGGTAACTGACGCATGGAAACATCGTCCTGCTACTACTGGTTTGTCTAACTAGAACCAATACAGCAGGGATACCCAACTGGTTTTGCCCGGGGGCCACTTATGTAAAATGACAGGAAGCTAGGGGACAGATGGAAATTCTGAGCGGATCCTCCCCTGGCACCTTGTTTGATAAACAAGCTCTTTTCTGCCACTTTGAATGTGAATGTGCATTTAGTTCACTTGTTATATTCTCAATATTACAATACGTTTTTAGGGTGACTTTTCAACATCTGTCCAGGGACAAAGATTTAAGATCACCTTCATTTATCCCTGAGGGGAAATTCAGTTCTTCTCTCTGGTGTTATTTACAATCTCACACTAAATACAAGCATGCACAAACAGGACCTATAGACGTCCACTTTGCCATGTTTAGTGCAGTAGCTGAGAAGGAATTTAGTGTTTCAAACTAAATCTTATCTATAAAACATCAGATTTAGGCAGAGATAAAGTAGCAGCCACCTTTTGTTTTTACTTTTTCTAAACCATGACTTTCCCTCATGGTGTGTTAGTCCAATCAGCTGCAGGCAGGGTTCATGGTGATGTCTAATTAAAGCTGTGTGTGTATCAATCATCTGCTGGTTGGTTAAAGGTTTATACCATCTCTTGACAGTGCTCCTAACTTGGTGAAATGTGCCAAACCACAATGAGAGGCAGAGTGTGAGGAGAAGCGTCTGTACCTCATGTGAGCCGCTGAAAGAATGAAGGACTGAGAGATAAAGGCCTGAACTGTTATGTTTCACTTCAAGTAACATCACCAAATAATGGAACCTGCTTCTAACTGCAGAGCGTTTTCTTACTTACAACATACCTTGTGAGAAGAGCCAAAGCAAAAATACGAGGATTTTTCCAAGTATTAGAAGAATGATATATCCTTAAGTTGACCAAACACTATTAAAATATTAAATGAGTAACACTGTTTCACCTTTTCCTACTTTACCACACTGCTGTCCAATTTGACTCAATCCTACATGCAAGGTCCTGCTGCAACAAATACTTACCCAATGTTTGTTAAAAACACATAGTTCAGCTGTATTTGGGCATTTCTGAACCTTTTGGACAGTGGATCTTTCTGTGAGCTTTTTCAGATTCACATCTTTCGTAGGAAGTCCTGAACCAATTCTAAGGATTGGCATAGAGTCGATTGAAGCATATTAAGTGGATCAGTATCTGCCAAACTAAAGCAGATCAAATATCAACCCAGTCTTTACTGAACTCTGCTATTCTGTCCTCAGGAGTGAGGTCACAGTTACCTTTCGTGGGAGAACAAGGTTCCTATTTCTGATTGGCTGGGCGGATTGCAAACCACGCCCCGTAAAACTCCCAAAAAGTTTTGTGAAGCTGCCATTTTATTATCCTTGCATTAGCATTATTAGCATTAGCATTAGCCCAGCGCACAAATGCAGAGAGACTAACTTATGGTAACACAAAAGAAAACATGGGAGCGGTGGAGATGAGGAGGTGTCGGCGTTCTGGCGATTTACTCGGAAGGCTTCAGTAGAAGCTGCTGGGAGTCCCCAACTTCGGGGACTTCGGGTGGCAGTGTACGCCGTGAAGTTGTTTGCCAGTAAACCCAAAGCAGAAGAAGAAGAAGTGACGTCAGCGGCTTCATTTGCCTAATCCTCCCCCAGGGACTTATTCCGGTGTGAACGCGATCTGTACTTAGTTCATGAGAACTAAAGAGTTCTCATGAACTAAGTTCTGATGAACCTTTGTGGGAAAAGTACTGCGGTGTGAAAGCGCCTCTTGACCTTTAACTTTGAGCACCAAACCTAATTATTTCATCCTTGAATCATGGATGGTTGTGCCAAATCTTATGAATTTATGAAAGGCGTTCCTGAGTTATCGTACGGACAGACATATGACATCCCAAAATCATAATTCCTTCGTTTAGTTTTTTATTTTGTGCAATCTCATCCTTTTGTTCTTTTTCTCTCCAGCTTTGTTAGCTTCTGCTCAGTAACTGAAGCTTTAAAGGGGCAGCCAGTGTTTTTCACTGGTTGTGATGATCAGAGTGATTTTAGAATCACTTTTTACAGTGTAATCATGTCAAAGGCTTTAACAGCGCACGTCCGTTACCTTGTCGTCTGCCCTGTCCTCCTGTTGAATGTAAGACACCAGAGAGTCCACTAGGCCTCGCATGTCTCTCATCTTCTGTCTCGTCCTCTCATTCACTGAGCTCAAGTTCCTACAAACACACACAGACTCATCAAACCCAGGCTGTCAGAACGTAATGCAGTAAAGCTGAGCTACTACAATTCATATTTGAGCAGCTTTAGCACAAAGCTTATGAATATCAATTTAGACCCTTCAGAAGCAACTTCTCCACTATCAACATTTTTATTTTACTTTTTGGAGCATGCTGCACTTACATGTGATGATATCTCCTGGAAGACATGCTGTATACAGCTGGTTTAACTTCAATATTCAGCTCCATACGATGGACATTAAGAATGAGGTCTATATGAACTTGACTTAATATTATTTGGCAATCTCATTGTCATTTCGTTTTGTAAAAAGGAGAAAACCCATATAGTTAATATTTGTGTTTTCAGACCCTAGACACAACAATTACAAAGTGTCCGTACAGCAGGAAGAGCAGAGTCACAGATGTCACGTAGATAGAGTGAACTGCAGTTTGGTTATTCTCGGAGTTTCCATGTAACATTTCGTTTTTCTTCCCTTAACTTTCCCATCAGCCTTAGATGTACTTTGTGTATAGTACTAACTTGCAAAAGTGACAAATTCAAACTTTTGGTATAATGACATGAAGTCTTTCCGTTAAAAATCAAAGATGAGGAGCAGGCTGTGAGTGGACAGACCTGAGGCAGCCGCTGGTGTTGTAGAAGACGTCTCTCTCAGACGGGCTCAGAGGCAGTCTGCTGCACAGAGGGACCAGAACCTTCTCCGTCAGCTCTGATAACGCCTCTTTGGACAGCTTCTCCTTCAGGTTGTCTCTGGAGGACAGATTCCACATGACACCTGAGGACCCAACAAACAAGCTCTTCATTCTGCTCTCTGCGTTCAGACCTTAATCTCTCAAATAAAAGATGGGACACCCGGATGATGTGACAGTGGGCGGCAGATTCCTTCTTCTCCTAACAAGAAGCTAACGGCTAACTGTTGGGGAAAATACAAGTTACTTTGGTATTGCTATGTTATCTAACAACTGTTGGTACTGTGTATGACCTTGCAGCTGCCTCCTCTTTAGATAGAAGGAGGCAGGGCATAATTCACTTTGTTTATCTACAGATGGGAAGACACCTACTCTTGTCTTCCTACCCTTTCAGGGGCAAAGAGCAACATCATCGCAAATGGGAATACCTGCATGTACGGAGACCTGCCGACACCAAACCGATTTACGACTATGAGTGGGACTGCACTTAGACTATATAAGCTTGATGTGATTTCCTGATCCTTTGAGCAGCATACCTCATGTGTGTGAGTGGAACCATATTCTTGTGTGTGATTTAACTCTGCTCCTTCTTGCAAGAATAAATTAGTACCTGAATATTGATTCTCAAACCGGTGTCGAGTGATATTTTTTCTAACACTAACGGTGGATTGGATTACATCATGATGATTGATTGAGTTACATCATGATGAGTTCAAACTTTGTTCAGAACAAATATTATATTAGATTATAACGTTATTGTGATTAGTTCAAATGTAATCTTGAAAAAGGCAGTTTTTGCACAAGGAATCAAATAAATGTATCTGGGAGTCTTTTTACAGCAATATTACACAGGTATTAAAATGGGAATTCTAACTAATACATTATTAAACTATGGCAAAAAAAATATCATATATGCATTTTTTATTTCCTAGTTATTACCTGTTAAGCCCTGAGCCTGTTTTTCAGGTCTCAGGCTCGAAAATGACATTCCCAGAACAAATGACCATATCTTCCCTTCTAAAAGGGTTAAATTAATAATCTTTTTTCTCAAAGTAATGATAAACCTGTGTGTTGGATGTAGAAAAGTCAGAATCAATATAGATGTTTTTTATTTTAAAGAAAATTCAGATTGAACATAGTAAAAAACTGTAAATTATAGTGTCCGTCCAAACATTCTTTTTTACTTATAGTGAAAACTACCCTTGGATGATGGTAAGGTAAACTAAAAGCTTTAGGAATCCAAAGTACAACATATAATAAGTACCCTGTATCAAGATTGATGCAAAACAAGTGACATTTGACCTTTTTAGAGAGGTTTAGCAAAAAAAACTCCACCTCTGAGGTGATTTGGGTGGAAATGGGGGTTTTACCGTTTCTCTGGAACCCATTGGTCGATTTTGGTGATTGACACCTCCTTCTGACCGTTAGAGCCAATAGAATCGAAGGGGAATTTCTCCACACACACACATGGTAAAAAAAAAGGTGGGGGCTTTGCGCATGCAGTATTGCATCAGAATGAATCTCTCGCTCTGACATCTGGAAACGGAAAAGCAGTTTTAATGCTTATGGATTATCAGAAATCATTTCAAAGAGGACACAGACACATTGGATTAACCTATGGATTAACTTCAGCAGCGTTTTTATCGTTTTAATGCCATTGAAGACCACTTTTGACCAGACAACGACACAGGTAAGCCATGTTAGCGTTTTTAGCTACCTAGCGCCACATGTTTTGATGTCTGTTTTTGTTTATAAAGTTGCGAGTTCTTATCATAGAGTGATAATGTATGTACCCATCGATTCTGTGTCATCTCACGATCAGATCGATGGGTTGGATGTGCAGAAAGGATAAATAATAAGGTTTTATGAGTGAGTTTCGGTGCAGTAAACCTGTTAGCATTTTTCGCTTGTTGCTAATTCAGAGGCTCAGCGTTAGCATTGTGGGTTTTTATTTGAAAATAAAATAAAAATGATCAGTTAGATGAGTTTCTTCCCGTTACATGGATATAAAACATTCATAGTTTATTAAATGTTAAGATGCCCTCAGACACTGTTTCCTGCAAGATGTTGCGGTAGGTCTCTCGGGCTTAACAGGTTAAATGTGTGTTTTTAAGCAAATACTGTAGATGACCATCACAAAGTAAAAGGAAGGCATTCAGAATGTTTGGATGGTCTACATCAGGGGTCGGCAACCTTTTTGATATGAAGTGCCATTCAAACAAAAAAAATGTATCAGCGTGCCGACGATCGTGAATTATCAACGGGGGGGGGAGCCTCGCTGCGGGGAAGCAGTGTGTGGACCTGTCAGCGCAACTTACATTAGGGATGCTCCGATCGCCGATCCGATCGAGTGGGCGGGTCCTATGGAGATCTTCCATTTAAAGAAATGTTTAAAACTCAGTTAATGGGGCTCATTCACTGGCGCTTCCACAAACAACAACCAACATAATTGTTACATTCAAATGAAGTAGCCTACATTATTCAAGTTTACATTAACTTTGGATAATAACACGGGAGAAATGAGCTGAAGCGCTCTCTTTTCCTCTCTCCCCCTCTCTCTCTCTCTCCTGACAGCCTGCCAGTATCTCATGCAGCTCACTGATCCAGTAATGAGTGACCCGACAGTGAAGAATAAATATATTTATAACTAGTTTAGCTTGTTCCAGAGGTAGATACAATAGCTAAGTGTGTTAGGTCTAACTCTTAGTGTGTGTTTTGCTCCGCTCACCGGTCCGTCACAGCGGGTGGAGCTGCAGGATTTCTGCTTCACACACGTTGCATACCGCTATTTTATTGTCATTTTCGGACACCTTAAAATACTGCCAGACTGGTGAAGCCATTTTGGCGAGCTTGTTTTGCCGCGCACAGAGAAAAGTGTCATGTATTTTACGTCTCGAGATCGGCATTTTTAGAGAGCACCGATCGATCGGCAGAGAGTGAGTATCGGCCGATATCGATCGCCACGCAAAACCTGCAGCATTTTTACAGCTCCTTATGGGTACTGCAATTTGTGAAGTGCTTTCCTCTGTGGTGAAACTATCAGCACTGCATTACGGAGGAAAGCGGCAGAAAGTCGCCTGGAGTTAAAGAGAGCGGGGCTGCATTGCGTGCATGGCTTCCTTCTGCAGGTAACGGGGAGACACGCTCTGGCGGCGGTCTCGTTCAGGATCCGAAAATACAATTTAAATATTTTGCAGACTTATTCCACTTATTCCTAGTGTGCCACTGGTTACGGTGACGCGTGCCAGGGGTTGCCGACCCCTGGTCTACCCCTGGACAGTTTACAGTCGCCTTGGATCAGGGTCCAATTTTAGCAAAGCTTGTCTCTCTGTCCTTAATTCCTAACAGCTGGCACAGTGGACCCCAGAGAGAAGGTTCTACTTGACTCCTGTGGACCCGGATAGTGGATCAGAACTCTTCAGTACCTGTGATGGTCTTCTGCAGCTCCTCGTCAGGTTTGCTCAGCATGTTGACCAGACTCAGAACTCCTCCAGCGTCTATCAGCGCCGCCTTGTTGTCAGCGTTCTCGTAGATCAGGTTCCTCACGGCGCCCGTGGCGTAACGCTGCACTTCCTGGTTGTCACTGCCGAACAGCTCCACCAGAGCCAGAACGCCATGCAGAGCACGGACCTGAGGGGGGGGCGGCGGGCGAGAGAGGAGAGGAACTACAGTTATAGTTAAAAGCACTGTAATATTCATAATGCTTTACAGCAATATTCTAAACTAAATTAAAAGCCTTTTTCTCTTTTAAGATCAAGCACCCTAATAATGACTTCACTCACTGAGATTTTAATGCATTTCATGGTGCAGTATTATTTTGCAGGTGTAAGCGCTCTACCTGGTTTTTGGCATCGTTGCTATGGTAACACTGGTGTTGTATGTACGCGGCTCCCAGAACTTGCAGGCCAGCATCTGACTCCAACAAATATCGGACAGCTGTAGGCATGTCCATACCCCGCATACTGTGCACACACACACACACACACACACCACACACACACACACACACACACACACACACACACACACACACACACACACACACACACACACACACACATACACACACACACACACACACACACGTACAGGTTATAATAATAATTATCTTTACGGGCCTACACTTAGAGCAACATGTACAGCGGACCCAGAATGGGCCCAGAGGGTGTGTACTGTGAATAAAGAAGGTGTCTCACTCCTCCAGAGGGTGTGTAATGTGAATAAAGAACATGTCTCACTCCTCCAGAGGGTCGTTGCTGTGTATGGACGCTCCATCCAGGATGTCCACTCCCCTCCCCACACTCCTCACGCTGTGGGTGGAGGCGGTCCGGCGGATGGGGGCCAGGTACAGCCCGTTCCCCGAGACATGGTTGGCCCTGGACACATGCTGCTGCCACTGCGTCCCCCAGCCATCCCCTGCCGTGGGGACCCCCCTGCCGGTCCCCCCCCAGCCCTCCTGTCCGAAGGCGGCGCTCTGCTGCTGGCTGTGCTGCTGGCGGTTGGTGATGCGGCTGATGGTGCGGTGGGAGGGGCCTTTATAGGTGTACTGAGAGGGTAGCTCCGCCTCCTGCTGAAAGAGGCCCCTGTCCTGGGCCAGGGTCCCGCTGAGGCTGCGCCTGAGGGTGCCGGGGGGGGGCACAGAGATGGAGTAGCAGGGGTTCTCTGGGGGAGCGGGCACAGAGAGGGGGAGGGTCTCTAGGTCTGCTTGGCACAGGGACTTGGAGCGAGTGTTCCTGCTGTGAGAGGACAGGAAGCTGCTCTGCACCACGCTGCCCCCCCGGTGGCTCAGCGAGCCGCTCTCCACCGCCGAGCGGGCCGACACCCCCGAGGAGCGCAGGGGGGCGGTGGGCATCTGAGGAGAGAGGAGGGGTCAGAAGCAGCACTGCAGAAGGCGCAGATAAATATGAATTTGTTCTGAATTTCTGACATGAAAGGACACATTATTAATGTAACTGCACATCTAGACAGAAACGGTTGCCAGGTTGCTGTTGGCCACCATTAGAGAGAAATGATCAATTATTGGCCTTTGGTTGCCATGACTGTCCACCTTTTTAATATGTCAAAAATAAGTGACTGCAAACAACAACATTTTCTTCCCAGAATACAGAGATGTTTCATAATTGTTGCATGAGTGAAATATGAAGTATTGCTGTTACAGTCCGAACCAGATCCAGACCACGATGCACGTGAAAGCAGAAAGCCTGTTGATGTATCTACTAGCTGCCCTGCAGGTAGTTAAATAAGAATGGAGGAAGGGCACTTCAAAAATAGCATATTGTATTGGTATGCTTTTTGCTAACATAATAATATTATGACTTTAATCAGACTATATTTCTCATGTCTGTACCATGATACCGAGCTAGACATCTTTTTCAAGTCAGTCCTGTAAAGATATTTAAGACCTAATATTCCCAATAACAATAATGGAAATTCACTACAGTTATAAGTTATTGTGAGTTTTTCTAATCGTGCTCTACGATAAAACCTTCTACTGTCCGATCACTAGAGGACACATTAACTGGTAACAATTAAGACTTAAACGCTTTTAATGTGACATTTTCATTATTAAGCCCACACAAACCTACATAGTACTTCCAATGTAAGGTAACTAAAATTGGCATCCAGCCTAAAAATCTCTTTTAAAAGCTAATTGAACTTCCTCAGTACTGCAAAAAGAGTTGTAGAGAAGTTATTAAAGTACAGCCAAGGAGAGAAGAGTATTTCTACAATCTTCTTTTCTCAGAAGTGTTATAAGGGCGATGCTTGAGGCGACTAACACTGAAACTCAGAGGCTCCATTGGGCAGCTCTTCCTCTCTGCTTTATTAAAGCCTGCTCCTGTAAGCTGCAGGAAGCTCACGGCTGCTGAGCATTGTTAGACCGACGACTTTAAAGGAACACACACACTTCCGGTTTATATTTTCCTCCTGCCTTCACATTGTTCTGAATTTGGGCGGCGGTGTTGGATAATTAAACCAGAGAGGAAACCTTTTTCATACTCAATATTGGCTCATTGCCATCCAGTGTGTGTGTGTGTGTGTGTGTGTGTGTGTGTGTGTGTGTGTGTGTGTGTGTGTGTGTGTGTGTGTGTGTGTGTGTGTGTGTGTGTGTGTGTGTGTGTGTGTGTGTGTGTGTGTCAAGGAATTTGATGTGTCATTCCCCTACTCTAATTCAGATGACATTATAATGTGTTACAACTTGGTCTTATTGTCAGAGTTTTCGCTTGGTGTTGACATCTTAAAACCCACTGAATTATGTACAAGAAGTGGGGAATTTATATTAATTATTTATACATTTAAATTCGCTTTATTTGGAGGGAAAACTGAGCACAATGTTGCTGATACCCCTTCAGGAAACCTGCTCCCAGCATTCAGTGCAGTGGGTCAGAGTTAAACCAGTCTGTGTGGAAGCTGTTGGATGTTGGTTACAACACGTGGTTTATCATTTTACAGTTTTTTGCTACTTCCTCTCACAACTCATTGAACTCTCCTGTGGGTGTCATGTTCTGTCAGACTTAGCGATGTGGCGGCTAACATTTCTCAGCAGAGTCATCGCTAACACTGAGGACACCGAGGTCATGTGAGGGCAGCTACCTAACTCAACTAAAGAGCGTTATCTTAGGGACCTCAGCAATATTGCCTAATGATACCTTACTTTGAGTGTTTGGCCCCTATTTTCAATTAACAAAAAACATAGAACTGCTCAACACATGAGTGTTTAATGGAAAGAATCTTGCTAGGCGTTCAGACACCCAATGTTACAAACACAAAATAATGAACCTGGGGACACGGACTGGGAAATCCTGGCATCAGAGAAGATCTCAATTAGTGAGAACTCCCTCGAACCAGAGGGCCTTGCCTTGCCTTGTGACCTGTATCTTTTGACTGCGAGAGTTTATACATAAGTCAAAACACATTTTTGGCTTGGAGACTACAGTAAAAAGAGTTAAAAGGCTGATCCTGGACCCTATTTTCCCATGTGTTTGTGTCTAAGTGTTTAATGGGGACAACAATTTTGATCCAATATTTAGGAATAGCACTGTAGCCACGAAAATGGCTGCTAAGATAATCATATTGGGAGATGCCAAATCATTAATGTATGTTCAATAAAATACATTAATTGTGTCCGACATTATTTAACGTAAAGACCAGAACAAATCAAATGTTTTCTTTACCTTTAGCTTGTTCTGCACATTGGTTGTTGTCTTACAAAGTCTCACTGAATGAGCAGTGTTGATCTCATACCCATCCACATTATATTAATCAGCTCAATATTCACCAAGACAATTCAATATTTTAAATAACACGAAGCTGAGCTTGTTGTACTCCAAACCAACCAAATCTCACATCAAATTGTAGTCTCTCTCACGTTTCCATCCGTGTCTTCTGGCAACAGGTCACGTGACACAATAACAAACAGAGGAAAAGGTAAAGGAACAATTCTCTGCAGGATCCATTGTGCAAAATGGTCAGACACTAATAAAGATCGGACTTTTAGTGGACTAAACTGTCCGTGCGAAATTGCTCATAAAAACTCAAATGCATCCTGTTTAGCAACTGCATGTTGCAGTGTTCTGATTTTATACTGGACTACTTTCAAAATGTGGTGCAGCTATTAGTCACTTCGACACAAAAACAGAGGAAATAGATACAGAGAAACACAGAAGTTTCTCTCCAGCGCACAAACAAAAAAAAAATGGATTGATTCTAGTTAAAGATTGTACAATTTGAATGAAACAACAGTTGTTTGTGTTTCCTGTCTTTGACCTGAGCAACACTAAAAGTATCCCAAAGCTGCAGAGTTTCTCGCTCGTGTGTGCCGGACAGCTCTTAAGATGTTTTCTCGCATGCATCATAGTGTTCATACTCACAGCCATGACGCGACTGGGTGTGTGTACCATGGATCTGGAACTGAAACCAAGGGTGTGTGAAAAGCTCTTTGCCTCAGGATGATAGAAGTCTAGGAAAAGAGAAGAAAGAAACAAATGTAAGTGTTTTTCATCATTAATGAAAATTAAGTATTCATTAAGAGGCGGAACCTCTATGTTTTACACTAAGTGGCAACCCTTCTTAACCTTCTTCCAATCTCTCGCATTATCGGGTCTGTTTGAGTTATGAAGGTGGCTTAAATACTGTATGCCTTCAAGTGATAATTAACCATGTATGGCTTGTCAATTGATGCACAATAGTAGAGACTAAATGGTTACTAGTAACTTTTAACTGTGGTCCCTGTCAATGTACCAAATGTCTTTTATATGTGTCTTCAATAAAAATATATAAAAAAATAAAAAACTGTCTCGAAAACAGATGTGATATTCATATTCAGAATGCCACCTCAAGTTTTACTGAGCGGCACTGAAGAATAAGAGAGGGGATTATTCTTTTGACTTAAAACAGACAGAAGAAAGGCTGTGTGAGGAGAAAGGTATTTTGGCGTGTGTGTGTGTGTGTGTGTGTGTGTGTGTGTGTGTGTGTGTGTGTGTGTGTGTGTGTGTGTGTGTGTGTGTGCGTGCATGCGTGCGTGCGTGCATGCGTGTGTGCGTGCGTGCATGCGTGCGTGCGTGTGTGTGTGTGTGCGGAGCAGATACACATGTGTCTGTAGAACAAAAGAAAATGGGACATTTTAGTGAAGGTATTCCTCCAGACACAGCGTCTTCCCGTCCACGCCCTGCAGTTTATCTGTAAAGCAGCTGGAAGCACTTTGATCAGAACCTGTCTGTGAGCGGCCTGGAGAGAACAACACGACCATATGTTCTGAAACGTACCAACAGCATCTTTCCAATACATTACATATTCAATTTGTCTGGGTTAACCCTGTGAGCCCAATGCCTGAAAGAAAAAGTAACTAACAAACTATTTATGTAGATTATTTACACCAGCAATCAACATGGACAAGGTCAAGGCCCCGGAGAGGCAGGAGGGAAGCTGAGGTCAGTTTATAAAATGCAAGTCTAACCCAAGTCATTTGGTTAGCATGCCAGCATTTCATCGTTTTTTTTAAAGATGTTTTCAGGCCATCAGTGCATTCATGAAAGAGACCGAGTTAAAAGGGGGAGACAGAAGGGGTGAAACCTGGCAAACGCTCGCATGCCAAAGTGGAATCGGTTGTGCATTCACGATGATTGATCATTTTTATGTTATCGTACAATATATTAACATGACCTTAAAAAATGGTTACGTTACCAGCTCATCATACAATAAAGCCTATAAACATAACCACAATCATTGCAGTGTCTTAAGATGTTGGCATTATGATGTCATTAAACATTTTGGCTAAAGGAGCCGTATTTCATTCTCAGCTCATTTTCAGGTTCATATCAGTATGTAGTGTCTCTACTGTGACATGTCTCCATGCTTTCATGTTCAAAAAGCTCTTTATTTTTCTCATACTCCCTGTGCTGCAGCACCTCTTTTCACCCTCTGTCTGAAACCAGAGCCCAGTCTGCTCTGATTGGTTAGCTGGCCTGCTCTGTTGTGATTGGTCAACCACTTAGAGATGTCCTGCCCCTTAGCCTATCACGTACAATGTATACATACAGAAGCGCAAGTGTTACATAATGATTTCACTATGTTCATAAGTAAACGAAGGAGTCCTATGGAGGCGTTTCAGGCATGCACAAAAACCTATAGGACACACTACAGGAGAGGGAAACCCCAAAAGCATAATAGGGCCTCTTTAGGAACAAATTATGAGACGTAAGGACTGGAGGAAGCAGGGAGGAGATGCTGCAGGGGGTGGGGGGGGGGGGGGGGTGTGGGGGCTGGCCTACATGCCTGAACATATGCATCACCAGCTCAGGGTTGAGGGGAGGTATGCTCACACTCGACCACCGGGACAACACACACACAGCATATGTCATCTGGATCTCTTATCACACAGACAACGTAAACACAGACAACGTAAAACATTGACATAAAACCTCTCTTATCAAGGGTTACAATCCAGAGCTTCCTGTATAAAATTAGCCATTTACATTACATTTAATGCAGCAATTTTCAAAGGAATGGTCCACTGTTCTCTCTCCTTCATCAGGCGAGGTAATTATTAATCAATGGTTCAAAGTCCCTGCTGTCTCTGTTGGTGAAACACGAAATGAAGAGCACCGAAGAGTATCCACATATTGACATTTCTGTCAACAGCAGACATTCCAACAGCTCTCTCCACTGACAATCACTATGACAGGAGACCAACACAAGGCCAAGAGGTCCCAGGAGGCCATGATGTGTATCTATGATCCCAAAACAATTCCGAGCAGGAGGAGCTATGAGCTGGTGTGACGCAACTTTGGCTCATTATGAAGGGATGGAAGAAGAAGAATCGATACTTTGAACCACAATTCAAAGTATTGGACACTACTATTGGCGAAACACAAATTAAACAATTTTTTAACTATACTGTATTAAAAGCTAGGAAAAATGGTCCAACCATAAGTCAATCCAGTACCATTAGTGGAAGTTAGATTGTGATTGATATTGTGTTGGGATTTGTGATTGAAGGCGGGTAAAGGGTTAGGGTTAGGGTTAGAATTGAAGCCTAACCATTTTACCACTGGCCATGTCAACTGTGTGCCATTTAAATAATGTTTGCTTAGAATCATGGAATATGTTGTTTCTGGTTGTTAATAATTGAATGTCGCGAGTAAATATTCAATATTAGATGGCTTGCTTGTGAAGGCTCTTCTAACTCTGGGAAGGGCATGAATGCATTAAGTCAGATATCTAATTTCTACGTTTGTCTCAAGGTTCAAGGTTCAAGGTTCTTTATTGTCAATCTGACATAGCTACAGAGTAATTATGTAGTTGAAAATCTTATGTCACAGGCTTCTCCAACAATGCAACATAATAACATAATAACAATAAGAGCATGAGCAATACAAAAAGAAAAATAGTTATAAAATAAAGTGATGATGTGGAATAGTGCAGTACAAGTCTATATACAAGTTATTGGAATGATATATATATATTAGGTATTAGATACATACTACTGAGTAGCAGATGAATGTTTTGAAGTTGTTTCAACAGTTCAATTTTTTAACAGTCTCACTGCCCGCGGGAAGAAACTGTCTCCAAATCTTCTTGTCCTTGCCAGGATGCTATAGCTTTTTCTACTATCATATACACCATTTTTTTCTGTTACCATAAGCTTTTGGTGTTAAAAGACAATACCAAGTTGCAAATATGAGTTCCATAACAACAACACAAGTGTAACATGGATTTTGTCTGACTATTTCTATAATCATGCAATATACAATTTGAGAGGTATTTTACCTAAACCCTTCATATTCTACAGTATGGCTGTATATATTTTATTCTACTGTTGATAATTTAACTGATTATTTTCAACTCAATAAAAATCAGTTAAAATAACTACTAAAAGAAGATGATCGCCTGCCAGCCATTGCATGCTATAGTCTCCAAAAAGCAGCCTCACCTGCAGCATTGGGGTGAGAAGTAGGCTAATATGCCCCTTTCACACCAACGCGGTTCCAGGGCCAGTTCGGAGCTAGAGCCTGAAAAGCACAGTTTTTTCCTGTTCACACCGCAGCGGAGCCGCCTCTAAGCTCCGGAATCCGGTTCGTTTCAAGCACCAAAAAGTTGTCGGTCTAGAAAGCAAGCACCGCATACGTCACGCTTACGTCGCAGGCGGGGGCGGGTGGCAGGGGCAGGATCAACCTCTAACAACAACAAAAAGCCCACGTTTTATCCAGTTTGTACACAACGATGGAAAACCTAAAACTTAACAAGCAGCAGTGGTCCACTGAAGAGACCAGCTACCTACTGGGAATCTGGTCTTCCAAAGAGGTACAGAGGAAGCTGGAGGGGAGCACGCGGTCCAAAGCAATTCTACAACAATTGCAGCAAGAGATGGCAACCGCTGGTTTTGACCGTACCGTTGAACAGATTGGCAACAAATTGAAAAAAGTCAAGAACGAGTGGCGGTTTGGCTTTATGAAGCAGGCACGCAAACGGTTACGTCATGACGCAAACGATGACGCAATGACGCAGCACCAGTCGGGCTCTGAGCGGTGTGAACAGAGCGGGAGCTGAACCGAAGAACCGGTTCCGAACCAGGAAAGCTCTAGCACGGAGCTAGAACGGGAAAAGCCTTGGTGTGAAAGGGGCAATAGTAACTGTGTTTGAAGAAAAACACACTTGCATGCCATGAGAAATCCAGAATATGGGAGTGTTATCTGAAGTTTAGTTTTAATCAACTCCTCTCTCAAAGTTTTATGATTATAATTGAACCCAGATGATAGCTTTTTCTGCTTCTGCAAAACAAGAAGCCTCCCAGTGATTTATGTATTTATTGCATATGAAATGTGTGCAGCTCCTCTCATTCCAAATGAGCAATTATTGGGTCGTGGTACCCAACCCAGCCTTTCTCAACACTGAGTTTTCTCAATCCAGCTTTGTCGCAAAATTCTAATAAATCTTTAGTTCTTGTCCCATGATATCCAAAAAACAACCTGTTCTCCAACACCTTGGTCTCCAAAACAAGTCTTAAGCCCTTACAAAAGTCCTATCACTCTCTGCAACATGATTTATTCCAAAAAATGCACACGTGTGTGATGAAACAAACAACCTATTGACAGTCGTTGGGGTTAAAAGGTCTTAAAGGTTTGTCTGTTTAGATCATATGACTTTCCTTTGGTTCAGATTTGCAGTCGGGAACTTTTCTGGCCACTCTGACTGCTAGCTTTATAATTAGTGAGCACACATGAGAGCGGTTTAAACCTTATCATCTAAGTGAGGTCAGAAAGTTAAAGCAACATTTTGACATATTTCAAAACATACATTTATCACTATCTTACCCTGACTGTTGAAAAAAGCCAATTAGAGATGGTTCATCTTCTGGTTTGAATGGATGTGCATTCATTTTCATGACAATATGTGTAGGGCCCAAAGGTAAGGTTTCTGTGATTTGTATTTATTATGTGCTATTTCTTTCACTTATCTTTGGTTGTGGGCCTACACTGGAGCTTGGGGAGGAGTTGGTAGTGGTTATAACCTGAGTGATCACTTGTGGTTTTGCATGGACAGAGAGTCAGGGAGGCGAGAAGCAGAATTTTCAGTTTACTGCAACTTTTGAACGCAATTTTTGCCTCATTTTCTATCGCAATGTTTAACTGCATTCAATCACAAATCCCACCACAATATCAATCATAATCTCACTTCCACTGGTACTGGATTGTATTATTCACCCGTGTTTGTAATAAATGGTCAATCAAACGCAAGGAGTGGAGCAGTTTAGTTTGAGTGCCCAGATTTATACCCTTGCGGCTTCTTCAGGGCTGCCTACGGCTGTGGATGTGTTGGACTGATCAGGGGGGATATTTTGATTTGTCATTGGTATGAGGGGCCATTTTCATGTCAATCCGACCAATGATAGTCGAAATGTCTTGATCTGGACAGACAACTGAAAGTTTGAAAGTGGATAGAGAGTTTGACCCACGACCTTGGTATTTAGGATGGTTACATTTCGTATGCCCTGTGATGCTTATCTCACTCAACTGTAAGTCTAACAGTTTATTTTCACAATGGTTGTTGATAAGAATGTTTTGAATAATCTTTGGTCATGGGAGCAAGAAAAATCAAGGTTTAAAGACTTTGAGAATTTGAGCTCTTGATTGTATATCTAGCATGTTTTAGTTTAGGTCTCAGGTCAATACAATCTACAAATCTAAAGACACACATTCTATAACTGAGAAAAAAAAGTATTATTTTCCAACTGTCAAGTGCCGTCAAATCCAAGTACAACTAATGTTAAGGTTCCAATTAAACATTCAGACAATGACAGCAGGCCTGACCCCATTAGCCGAAGTCCAGAACAGTCTAAAATAGCCTCTGATAAGGTGCTGTGAAAAGCGCATAGGAAAGGAATGTTCCACACACAAGGTGGTCAACGAGCTCAGGAGGGTGTTGAACACATCAGCTAACTTACGCTTCCCTTTCAACGGGATTTGTTCTTAGATTCCAAATTGTTTAACTGGAGTTGACAACTGTTTGCAGTCATTTCCGTCTAAGTTTGCATTATTTCGCTCCACGAACCCTCCCCATCTGTTTCCTTTGTTTGCAATTTCTTTGTAGGTGGACTGCATCCAAGCTATGTTGAATTTAGACCACTATGTGGGAACATAACCAATTTTGCTAAACGTCTTCAGCTCATTCAGTTCCATAACACGAAATGCCTGATTTATTAGTGGAGCCTAATATGATTCAATAACCGGTCATTTGGGGCGAAGCTCCAACAGTACCAAGTGACTTAGAAATGAAGATAATTCTGGATTTTGCATGACATAAAACTTGCAAAAGTTCCACAATTTGAGGTCAGTTGGCGGATAGTAGTTTTACATTTAAAACTATACTATCTGCCAACTGACCTTATATATCCTTTATCCATTGATAAAGGATATTTCTAAGGAAGAGCTATCAGTGTTTGCTTGGGGTTAGGGTTAGGGTTAGGGTTTGTAATTCATTTCACTGATGAAAGAATATCTCACACAAGATTACATGCAGCTTTCAGACAACATCCTGACCCCCGGTTGGGTCAGACTGACTGTTATCAGACAGGAGATGAGGAGAGGGGGTTTCTCCTTCCTTTACGGATTTTCCCGTTGGAAAGACTTTGCAAGGTCACGATCAGGCCTGCAATAAGACAGATGTAGATCATCTGAACTTCTCACGCTGACTGGCTACTATAAGAAACCTTCACACTTAAAAAACTGAAAAATGGTTCTTGTTTAACATGTTATAACTCAAAACCATCCTGGCAGGAACCTGTGATGTCATAATTCAAGTTTCCATAGGGAGGAAAACAACAGGAAATGACCAGGATGTCACACTCATAGTGTGGCGCTCATCGTGCACAAATCTGTGTAGTAGGTGAACAATACAATAGGATAAGCTGTTCTTACCTCATATACATACACCAAAAGATATCACTGTTGGTACATTTAAGTCAAGCAACTGTAAGAGCAAGATTTTCAAAAGACACAGAATTTTTATTTTAAAACTCCATATAATTGTGGGATGGTACTTGACTATATTACATTACATGTTACTTGTTAGACGCTTTTATCCAAAGCGACTTACATACTCAATACTGTGGGAAATCCCCACAGGAGCAATTTGGGGTGAAGTGCTGACTGCAGTGGGGTTTGAACCTGTGCTCCCCTGATCCGCACACCAACGCACTAGTCCACTGCGCCACACACCTCACTATATGAATCATAATATCGTAACGGTCGGTTCATTCGAGACAGTTTGGTACATGACATTCAAATTGGTATGCCACTTTTTTCTACAGGTTGTTCAATTTGCTTTAACATGTCCAATTAGGTGTACTTCTTAGATAAGAATGAAAAAGAATGGTCCAAGCATCACATTTCCCAAAATGCAACTGCTCATTGTGCCACGTTCTGTAAAGGTCAGGTGACCCCGTGATGACATCATCAGGATTGTTTTTTAAACTTTGGAAAACTGAAGGAATTACAGTCTTTTTCGAAAAACAATGAAGCTGACTTTTTCACGTTTGCCATTTTTGGCCATACATTTCAGTGGCTTATCTTTACAATAAGAACTGCTTAAGGCTTACATTTACTGGAAACAAACCCAACAACAACCCCAAAACCCCCCAAGCCCCAACCATGTTAAAACGGTGTATAGTTGCAATAGGAAAGTGGTGTCAGCAACAACATACAGGGATATGGTCACCTCTCCCATTAGTGTTTTCATAAAAGAAAAATGGCCTACACAGTACACACCCCCCAACCACTGCATGAATTTAATGTTTGAACTGAGCTGTTTGGTAAATGAATGGCAAACTTACAATTGGACCCTAAAAAAACATATTAACATATGTTACCATTGTCATGCCATAGACACTTTCTATCTATTCTCCAATTGGAATATAATGTATCAAAAACCAGAATTAAAGAATATGAATCAACCCTATCAAGCAATAAATAAAGTATCATGTTTTGCTAAACAATCCACTGGCCTCTTAAATGTTAAGATAAGTTGGGACTTTATTGCGGTCGGTGAGACATCTTATATTATATAAAATGACTAGTCTGTACCTTGGTTTTAATTTCACTTTAAATCTGCACTATACAATATTTCTATAAAAAAAACACATCATTTTAGAATGTATAATGTCAAAGTGGTCACTTGCAGTGACAAACCCACCAAGAATGATCTCCCAACTCTGCGGTTAGCCCTTAGCTAAAAATGTTCTCCCTATTGCTTTGGTTCGACACTACGCCAACCTTATTTTCTTCCTCTGTTTTTAGCATAAAAGCTCTGATAAGCCCACTGCATACTGTCTGCCCATCAACAAACGCCAAGCAGAGAACGTTTGCAACAAGCTGGTGAACATTGGAGTTTTCATAAAGAGTTGGTAGGGACCAAAACAGAGCTAAAAGGAAAGTAAATATTCAACTTACATTCATCATGCGGAGTTGTCGACATTTGATAACTTATACTAATGCTGCTCTTTATCTTAGGGATGTTAATAGGCAACTGTTTGCTTTAAAGCTACAACGATAAGTTGACTGATCGATTAGTGAAGTGATGGAAGAAATATCGATTTTGAGATTAATCGTAAAAGTCAATGTTTATGCAAACATGTCAATAAATGCTTTATTCAGCCTCTCAAATACCAAAATGTACAGTTGTCCTCCTCTGTATGGACATTTTGGACATCGACCAAACGATAACTTGAGTAATTGAAAATAATTGTCAGAATTATCATAAATAAACATTAGTTAGTTAGTTAGTTAGTTAGTTAGTTAGTTAGTTAGTTACTGAAAGCCCTAGTTTGCTTGCACTTCACCAAAACAACTTGTAATGGATGATGTGTGACACACAGACACTTCCCAAATGGCAATATACAAATGTATGATTGCAGCTTTTGCCTTAATTCTAGCAGTGAAGTAAATCCCCACATTCACAGCCCTAATGTTGGTCTGTCAGATTGAACTCTTCACATGAAACTAAATTACTCTCTATTCCTTATCTGCTGCTGACCCTGTCCCTGCCCTTGAATAATTGAATGTTATGGCAGCAGCAGTTCACTGACTGATAAACAGCAGCTGGGAATTCAAAGCAACTTTTTACCGTGATGTGTTCCACCTGTTGATCCGACCAGCGAGTCGTCCAGCCGGGGCAGGGAGGAGGACTTCTTCTCCGCCAGCCGCATCCGGACCTGCTCCTGGACACGGCGGGCTCGAGCCAGCTGGTCCGGGGGGGGACCGTCCGAGGGAAGAACATAGGCGGTGCAGGAGGAGTTGGGCTGCATGGCGGACATGAAGCAGCTCTCAGCCAGCAAGACACTCATCCTCACAGCGGGAGAAAACACTTCCACTCCTCCGGTGACTGGCTCTGAAGTGTCCGCTGCGGACTGGAGCTCAGAAGCCCACTGTCTGTGGGCGGGGCCTGGCGGCCGGTGGGGGGCAAACAAACCCTCAGTTATTGTCAGGACAACCTGCTCCTAGAAATGACAGCAAATCGTTTTTCATGGAAACGAGGGACCGCCCAGATGATGTTACCAATTAACATTTTTGCAACTTGAGACATTTCTATTAATTCCAACAATGTGTTTAACTGATTTATGTTTTCTTCAAAAAATCTTCTGCAGCTTGTGCTGGCTAAAATAATTGGTCGTGCTTTTTACAGTGCTACGGCTTCCACAGATGAAATGTATTTATGTATTTATTGTCAAAGCATTTATTATATTCATTGCTATCGGGATGTTAAGAGCATTCCATGGAATATAACAAAAAGTGTTTTCTGAAGTGAATTACCTACCCTACACAGAAACACTTTTTGTTATATTCCATGGAATGCTCTTAACATCCCGATAGCAATGCATATAATAAATGCTTTGACAATAAATACATAAAAAAATGTCATCTGTGGAAGCCGTAGCGCTGTAAAAAGCACGACCAATTATTTTAGCCGGCCGGCTAAAATAACTGGATGGCCTACCTGCCTGTCAGCCTTCCATCTCGTGCACAAACTTATCTCGTGCCCTCATTGGTCATGTGCGCGTTCGTGTGTGTTGGAGGAGGGGCTCTGTAAGGAAGTCTGAAGGAAGAGGCAGATTTTTTCCAGTTGTGTACTTTCAAATTCTAGCGCACTCGAGCTGGTTTCTCCATTCTTACCTACCCTACCTTTAAGTGAATATTGTTAGTGTCAGTAATCAGTGTCACAACATAGGATTAAATCAATATGAATATGTTTTAAGTAATGGAACAATTGTACAAATGTTATTGTTATTGCTAAAAGGCAATTGTATTTTTTTTATTGCGCCTTTTTATATCACACTTATGGTATCAGAAGCATAGGCGGCACCAGGGGGGCGCTAGGGGGTGCTGCAGCTCCCCCTAGGATAGCAACAGCACCCCCAATAAATGTATGTCTTTTTTTTCTGTGTTTCATTCAAGCTTGGCTCTGTGTGTGTGTGGCACGAGCGAGCAAGAGAGAGAGAGCACACTGTAACGGAGATCGTTGTTGTTAGCATGTGGTGCTAGCTATCTACGCTAACGGATATAGGGAGCTTTTTCAACAAGGTGGAGGGAGAACTCTCTCCTGTCAGACTGAGAGGCTCAGATAACTTCAGCTCAGGTGAAGTAAAGGACTCTCTCAGTGTTTAGATAGTTAACTTTAGTCTAAGTTATCTCAGTGGGTCTCAAATGGTTTGGTCATGATTCATGTAAACAAGTATTTCCGAGGCACACGTTTATATGATCATTATAGGTATTAGCAAGGGTGTAACTTTGGTTTGAGAAGTGGGGGGGACACAAAACAGGGGGTCCTCCGCAATGAAACATTTTTCTCAATTTAATTCAATGTCCTGCCTTTCTACGAATATATTAGGGACTATGGTGTTAAAAAATCCAAGAAAAATGTGTAGTATATATAATGAGGAGAAGATTTTTGTCTTTAAATTGAAGTTAAAAGCATCAATCTGGTGCACTTTGAGAGCAAAATTAAAAGATTTATGGATACAGCTCTCAACACTCATATGAAACAGAACTGTATACATTTCAATATTCCAAAAACCATTAGAATATGCTCACAACCAATAACACATAATTGATATACTCCTCTCTCCTATCTTAAACTTACCTAGTCTGCATTCTTTCTTTTTATGTATGCATATTTTACTAATCACTCCCCCTTTAAACTGTGTCTTTTCATTTTTTACTGACATTGGAATGATTTCTTAACTTATTTTTGAACAACTATATTAAATAGATGGAAATATTTCTTTACATAGATGACCAAACCGTTTGAGACCCACTGAGATAACTTAGACTAAAGTTTACAATCTAATCACTCAGCGAGTCCTTTACATCGGCTAAACTGACGTTATCTCAGCCTCTCAGTCTTAATAAACACATTTGAAAAGTGGGGGGGACACAAACGGGATTTTGAAAAGTGGGGGGGACATGTCCCCCCTGACCCAGTGGAAACTACGCCCATGGGTATTAGTGATGTGTCGGTCGCCGGCTTGCGCCCGCGAACAAGCCGTGTTTTGTTGTTGTTAAAGGGCCCATGTCATGGCCATTTCCACTGATCATAATTCCATTGTTGAGGTATACTAAAATAGATTTATACTGTGCAATTTTCCAAACTCACATTGGTTTTGCATACAGCATCTCTGTAAAGTATGTGTATTCAGCAGTATTCACTCTCTCCACTAAACGGCTCGTTGGAGCTCTTGCCCCCCCCCTCCCTGTGAGCCTAGTGTGCTCCGATTGGTCAGCTCGGCCACTCTGTTCTGATTAGTCAACCACCAGAGAGGCTCCGCCCATGTCTAACAGTGCTTTTTTCGGCTCGCTCTCAGCGGAACAACAGTCTTATAATGGCCTCGGTACAGCCGTATATTTTATACGCTAACTAACCGAACTGTACCTACAACTGTTGTTATAGAAGAGTAAGTTATTTTTACCTGTAATAAACTACTACTGTTTGATGAGAAATCAAATCATGGTTTGCTATATATGAATGATATGTTATAGGAGCAAATAATTCAGGGAAGAAAGGATAGGCCTACTAAGTATTTCCATCAAACTTTATTTTTAGAAATGTACAAAATGAACATGCGTAAATATACATATATACACTGTATATCATCCATTCGTCCCCTTATAGGCGTTTTCGGCATCTTGCCTATCGCAGCTTTGTAAGCGGCTGCCGGGGCTTTTTAGGACGAGGCATCAGAGTGGGTCATCCTGTGTGTGTGTTGTCCGCCAGATACGCCAGGAGTTTCCTGATCTGGCTGGACGAAATCAAATGCAAATCACAAAATATTAGAGAAACTTAGTTGTTTTAGATTCGTTAGTAGTAGTTGTGGTAGGAGTGTGTATCTATCTAATCTATCTATCTAATCAACACAGTTAGCTTGCCAGCTAATATGCTAACCTACGTTTGCTAGTTGTTCAGTGTAATATGCCAATCTACTATGAACAACAGCTAGTCTAGGCCAGCGCCATATAGATAGATCTCTCTATATGGCGCTGGTCTAGGCTAGCAAGAACATGTTTACAATTGCAATCTTATACGGGTAGTCTGCTACGTTCGGTCATTCATTGTAGCTGGCATGAAAACAATGTTTTCCCTAGCAAGGCTAGCTCTAGGTAGCCTAGTTGTTTAGCTATGTAGCATACACGCTATGAACGGTAGCTTGGTAGCATACACGCCAGAATCACCCGGAGTATACTGTCTATGAGTATTTCGTGTGTGAATGCAGACATTCTCCTGCTATGAGATACATGTATGTAAGGCCATCTGCTGATACAACCCAGTCTCACGGCATTTCGTGTTATTAGTCACGAAATTAATTTAATCTATTGATTCGTGTTCACCAACACGATTTTCACATTTTTTTCGTGTCACACAGAACGATTTTAAATGCAATGTATTTCTATTGGTAGTATGTTTCGTGCCTGCAACACGTCTTTTTGTCCGGTCGGGTCTTGGAAGACCAGAAGCTGTGTGGTTCATAAAAACATGTTCTTACTCAATATCTTACCCTAAGCCTAACCCTATCCCTTTTATTTTAAATTGTATAATGTCTGAGTTTTTTTGCCGTCAGTGAGGAAAATAAATGGCTCAGAGCCTCAGAATACTGAAATCTGTATTTTATGTCATCTTTTTTTCCTTCTAATTTGTTATTATTTGGTGCAGGCACGAAACATACTACCAATATAAATACATTGCTTCTAAAATCGTTCTGTGTCAGAATACTTAAATCTGTATTTTTTTAAATGTCTTTTTCCTTCTAATTTGTTATTATTTACATTGCTTTTAAAATCGTTCTGTGTGACACGAAAAAAATGGCGAAATCGTGTTGGTGAACACGAATCAATAGATGAATTTCGTGACTATAACACGAAATGCCGTGAGACTGTGTTGGCTGATATTAGAGTTGATATATGGAAACGCTAGCAACTTAGTTAGCACAGTTAGCACTGTGTCAATGGCTTAGCAGTCCGACACACGTTTACACATTTAAACAGTCGTGGTAGATACCTTGTTTGGGAGACATTCCTAACGAAATGAAGTGCCAATCACAAAATATTATTGAAACTTAGTCGTTTTATGTTCGTCAGCTTGCCAGCTGGATTACAATGCTAACCTACGTTTGCTAGTTGTTCAGTGTAATATGCTATAGGCTACTATACTATACTATACTATACTATGAACAACAGATAGTGGTTCATATTAGGCTATCAAGAACATGTTTACAATTGCAATCTTATACGGGTAGTCTGCTACATTCATTGTAGCTGGCATAACAACAATGTTTTCCCGAGCAAACTCATGTCTAGCTCCGTTGTTTAGCTCGGTAGCATACACGCTAGGAACGCCAGCTATAATGTAATTACGTTTCGCGACTGACCGTACGGTAAATCACCCGGAGTATACTGTCTATGAGTATTTCGTGTGTGAATGCAGACATTCTCCTGCTATGAGATACATGTATGTAAGGCCATCTGCTGATATTAGAGTTGATATATGGAAACGCTAGCAGTCCGACACACGTTTACACATTTAAACAGTCGTGGTAGATACCTTGTTTGATAAATACACAAATAACAATACAAACTTACAGGTTGTGTACCCGAATCTTCCCCTGCTCCAAACGGTCCAAACAAACTAGGAATAGCATCGTCCTTCAGTTTCAAATGCTGTGCATATCCGGCCTCAAACTGGGCAATGTTTTGGAAGCTTTCGTCTGTGAAATGCCGCGCACACAGTAACGTTCTTCGAACCTCTGAAGGAACAGTGTTAAACAGAAATTTCAACCACTGACTTCGTCGTGGTTCTTCCGTCGGTAGGACAAACAGCTCAGATTTCTCCTCACATTTCAGGAAACAGGTCCTTGGCATTGGCATGACTGGATCG